CTTAATGCACGGATAACTGCGAAATGCAGAAATAACTGGGAGAAATGCCAAAGGCTGTGTTGCCCAGAGGTCAGGTGAGGTGGTGCACGGTCCTGTCCAGCATTGCTGTTTGTAAGCTCTTCTAACTTACTAGATTCCATATGAGTTGGCACATACATTGCTTTATAGCTCTATATCAAACCATATCCAGGGTTCCAATTTTTAGAGTATTTTCATGGAAGTCTCCTAGGTTAGTTATTGGGAAGAAATTCTTTACTGTGGGGCACCGGAATAGGTTGCCAAGAGAAGCTATGGAATGTCGCATCCCTGGAGGTGTTCAAGTGTTGCATGGGATTTAGAGAAACATGTTCTAGTGCAATGTGTCCCTTCCCAAGGCAGAGAGTTGGAATTAGATGATCTAAAAGGTCCCTTCCAATGCAACATTAAAACATTCTATGTTTTTATGATTTGTGATTTTTGCTTCAGCTCAAAAACAGGGCTTAGGCACAATAGTTTTCCACTGTTGTGTATGACACCCTGAGAGGTTGTCCTGTGAGGTATGACCAAGGTGCCTGCATGTCCTGCTGTCCATCCCTACTGGTGTTCAGAGCCTGAGTATGTTTGCTATTGGCCAGGACAGCTGGAGCTCTGATCTTTTCCTTTCCACTGACAACTCTTTCATTGCCTGTGGTGGGTAGTGGCTTTGTCTCTCACCAGGGCCACAATTTCCATTTTCCTCCATAGAAGTACTTTTTCACACCTTGGGGAATGTTGTCTGAAATCAGCATGGTTTGTCCATCAGGGCTGGTGTGAACCCATCCAGTTGGTGATGGCAGGTCCCTGTCCCTCTGGGCTGATGTGAGAGCCCTGTGGCTGCAGAGTGCAGACAAACCCAAATACCCTTATTTTGGATGTGTGATGATGAGATTGTGTTCTCCCATGTGTTTCCAAGGAGAAGAGAGGAGCCAGCAGGGAGGTGAAAGATGGTGTAGCTCTGCCTGATGCAGTTGGCTGTTTGAAATAAATATTCAGAGAGTGCTTTGAAAGTGGTGAGCTATGTTGAGAGAGAGTTTGGACTTCATGGAAAACGTTAAAAATTCAAAGCAGAGTTGTTGGCAAGTGGTGGCTGTTGAAGTAGAGCAGAGGAATGAGCAGAAGCCTGGCAGGGGGAATCTAGGGGAGTGGGATGAGGATGATCATTTATTGAAGGAAGTTAATGAGGCACAGGAGAAGGTGAATGTAAGAGGTGGGTTTTGAGAGAGACAGCACAGCGCTGTGGACATTTGATGTGCCCTTGGCTGAGCCTGGGGGCACCAGAAGAGGCTGTGGAACAGGATCCATCTCTGTTCTCACTGTTAATCTTCACCATTGTGCTGTGCAGCTGTGGTGGCAAGGTGGGCTTTGGTTATGTGAGGGGCACTGTGAGTGAAATTTGCCATTTTAAATATAAAATGGGTTCAGATTTCCTGGGAATGGGCATGTGCTGCCCTGTCAGGAGGATCTCTAAGGCTGCAGGGGCAGCTGTGTGTGTGAAGGCCACCAGCCTGTGATACCCCTCTGCTCACCAGCAGCACAAGGGCTGAAGAAACTCAAGAAAAATATCTTGAGAAAGGGACTTTGGAGACCTGATGATGCTGGAGTGTCCAAAGTTTTGGACTGACTTTACAGGAGAGCTTTGCAATTCCTGCAGTGAGTGCAGGGCTCTGTCTGTTTGCTCCATGTCCCCACACACAGGCACTGCATAATTTATTCCTGAGCTGTTAACAGCACATTGGGAACACAGAGACAAGATTTGCTGCCCTGTCCAACCTGAAGGAAGTATGACAGACAACCAATCCAGGCTGGGATTTTCAAAGGCTGATTCCTAAGGTGTTTGTAGCCAGACTACCCCTTTCAGAACTTCCTGATTGTGAAATTATTTCCATTTTGAATGGAAAAAAAACTTCAGTCAAAATGTGACTCTTCCTATCAAATGAAGTTTGACTTCTTGCATGAGGAAATAAGAATTGTTCTCCATCTGAATGCTCTCCCTGGGGTTTTTAGGGCAGACCAGCCTGGCTTCTGTCTACTTTCACCCCACCCAGGTGAGGGGAACCTGCAGAACAGCCTGACAGCATTCCTGCTTGCACTTGCTGTGCTAGGATTGCTTCCCAGTCATGCTGCAAGGTTTCAAAGCATTGAACTTTAAATGGCTTTAGCCAGTGAGTTTCAACACGCTGCAAATACAGGCAGTGCAGTTATTACTTTTTTTTCCCCTTTTTTTCTTTCCTTTTTTTAACAATCAAAAAAAACCTCAAACTTTCATTCGTTTCCTGAAAATGTTGTGGGTGTTGTTTTTGGTTTTGTTTTGGTTTTTTTGTTGGGTGACCTATGAAATACCATCAGCAGCACAAAATGTTTATCCAGTGACAGCCTGAGGTAGCACAGGCAGCTTTTAGCGGGTTTATTTCCATTATTACAGCAATTTTAGGGCTGCATGCTGCAATTTTCACTTGCAGTGAGGTATTAAATTGAAATTACCCCAGATGTAATTGTCACACAAAATAATTCTGGACATGCTGGATTTAATGCTTTTCCAAGCTGTGGTTTTTATTACCCAAGTAAGTGCCAAAAAAAGACACTTGTACCCAACAACTTAAACTGAAGTCTGCCTTCTGGGGACCCAGGATGTTTAGCTGTAGTAACACTGGGGAGGAAGGGGGGAAAACACCACAAGGGACTAAGTGGAGGAAACTTTGGGAAGGCTCCTGTAAGAAGAACCCAAGGGTAGAATCCTGGGCAAGGACAGAGTCAGAGCCATAAAGCACCCAGGAGGAGGAGCACTGGGAGGAGCACAGCAGCTCTGCCTCACCCTTTGCCAGCAGATTTTGGAGAGGCAAGTCCCAGCTGTGGTGTAGTGCTGGTCACAGGGGTGAAGTGAGGCTGGAGGTCCATAGCAGCATCATTCCTGTCCTCGGGATGTGACAAGCCTCACTAGACGGAAACCAGGGATGAATTGCAGCTCTGGAGGTGCCCATGTGTGACATTCCAGCTTCTCCCACATGCACATTGCCTGGTTGGGCCGGTCTGGTGCATCAACATCTGGAGTTTTGGAGGCAGGTTGTTGCTCAAGAGGAGCCTGAGGCAGCCTGCAGCAGCCCCAGCACTTCCACCCGTGGGAGGCACAGACACACCCAGCTCCTGCTTTCTTTACCAGCTCCTGGGCTGTTGTAATAGCATAAGTAAAGTATCGATGACTCGTATTTTCCAGTCTCGCTCGTTCTTTGCCAGAAATAGCTTCCCTTGTTGGCTCCACAGAGCCCTGCTGGAAGTGGGTGGAAGGACACGCATCTGGGAGCGGTGTATAAATAGCACAGGGAGGGAGAGCAGCTGCCATCGTCTGTCCCCGCAGCTCCGCAGAGCAAACGGGAGCTGAGCCGGAGCGTGGCACAACTGAGCGGCAGCACTTCGGGATGGCTCGGCTGGAGCGGGGAACTGGGTGTTGCAAGGGGCCGCAGTGACCCAGAGAAGCAGCTCAGGGCACAACCTGGTGCTGTTTCATAATTCAGAAACGCTCTGTTTTCAGCATCCCTGAGATGCAGTTTTGATGGATGAGGGTGTTGTCACACAGGGCAACGTTGCTGAACTTTCTCCTGCATATGGAATAGCTGTGCGACTTTGGTGTCCTTTGGGGATGGACCCAGAATTAGAATTGGCTCAAAGGTGAATTTTTGGTGGAGATGACTGTGCTGAAAGAACAGGGGAGTGATGAGAAACCTACTTTTGGTCAAGTTCAAACTGGATTTGGAAAAGGTTTTGAGTGAAACAATTAGAGAAAGCAGCAAGTAATTTAGCATGAGCTTGCAAATATTTTGTCCCACCCAAGATACCATTTTTTCCTTATCTTTGGAATTGTTTCTCCTGTTGCGCACTCTTGTTTACTTTGTAAATAATCAGAAATGCAATTTCAAAATTAAAACATGGAAAACTTTGTTAAAAATAGTATCTGGAGCATTTTGGCATTTGAGAGGAGCAACATGCTTTCTGAATAGCATAAACCAGCAATATCTGGCTGCTCTTATGTGCTTTCTCCTCTCCATCTCCAATTTAATTTTTCCATCTGTTTTTACTTCACCTTGCAGGTACTGTGGTCCAGAACTTTAGGGGAGCAAACTGATGGTTTGTTGGAAGAGTGGTTGCTCAGTGCTCTTTCCTGCCCTGTTTGAGGATGGTATTGGCAGCACCTGGGCAGTGACACAAGAGCAGACAAGTGGCATGTGGTTGGCAAGGGACAGGATGGCTGTAATGGAGACCTACTGTTGTGTCATCTTAACGGACTGATAGGGCCCTGGAAAGGGCAGCATAGATGTAAGGGGTATCTGGATTTTCTGAGCTGGGAATATATTGGTGTTGGTCTATAAAAGCCACAAATTTAATCAGCTAAAGGTCGAAGTAATTACAGAGTCTGTGACATTTCCTCCTGGGAAGGAGGCAGCAGGGGCTATGGTTGCAGCTGTGGGTTTTCACCTTCTGAAGGGTTGGACAGTTTTAAATCCCAATCTTCCCTGTAGTCTGGTTATGCAATTAAGGCAGAATTAATAAGGAAACAATTAATTTAGAAACAAGGCTTGGCTTACCTTACAACTGGCTGGTGGGAATTGCTTCCTCAGGAGTCTGGAAGGAAGGCGGAACGGCAGGGATGCTCTTACCTGTGGTGGTGCCGTGAGCCAGGGGGATGAGAGAAGCCCTGGTGGGTAGTGGGGAAGCACTGGTTAGACGAAAGGTCTACCAGCTGGCTGCCTCCCTTCTCATCCCTTCCCATTAAGAACAATTAAGTTCTTTGCTGCTTTAATCATTGGTGGCTTAGTTGGCAATTTCTGGACTCCTCTAGAAATGATTCACACAGAAAAAGTCTTATTTATTTCTTTGTAATAGTGGCTGGAGACCATTTACTAATAGACTGTGCTGCCTGTGTTGATGAAGTGAACTCTCACTTTGAATTCCAGCACCTGAGCAGCCTTTTCTGCTTTCTCCCTTCCCAGGTGTACGACTTTGCACTACAGCCAGGATCTCCCGCCCACCAGCGTGATCATCACCTTCCACAACGAGGCCAGGTCCACCCTGCTAAGGACAATTCGGAGGTAAGAGCTCCTGGGCGTCTCTTAAAGGAGGGTCAGTGAGCCAGTGGTCATCAGGAATAAAGGCAGAATCTGTTTGCACTCACCACAGCAACAGGACCAGACCTGCCAGCTGCGGTCTCAAATGGTGGGTGACTGAGAGAAATTAGTCTGAAAGTCGCTCTCTGAAAAGTAGGTTTTACAGTGGGATGCTCAGGAAAGTGAGGAGCCGTGCTCCCTTTGCAGGGTCTAGCATGGGAAACTCTTGAGGGATCATCAGCAGCTTAACAGAGTCTGGGCTAAGAGCTTTTATATCCAGCTGGGTATGAGTGCTCAGCTGTATTTTGTCCCAGCCCTCTAGAGACAGCTATCATTCTATGAATATCTGCTCCAGTGCTGCTCTGTGAGCTTCTCCCATGTCCCATCGAGTGCCAGAAAGGCTTGCTAATTGAGAAGCCCTAATGACACACATGCAGACCAGATTTTCAGGGATGGTTTCTGTACTCCTGCAGTGACACGGTGGAGCACTCTGGGCATGTGGCCATTCCTTCATTTGTCGGTTTGTTCTTGGCTGTGTTTTGCTGTCATGGATAGACTGAAGGCTTCATTTTCACTGCAGGCTTTTGGAATCTGTGTTTAATCCCAATGTGTGCCTTAAATCTCTGCAGGTTCTCTTGTGGGAAGGTCTGGTGAGTTATGTCCAGGTGTGGGCTGGTGGGTTGCTCTGTGGCAAGGCTGGGTGTGCTGTGCTCTGTGCCAGTAGTGCTTTGCAGCTGCATCTCATGTACACTTAGTGAAGATCTGTGCCCCACTGCAAGTATTGGCTTTTAAACCCTGGCATCCCCAGGGACCCTGTACCATTGCTGATGCTGGTCATACTGTCATACTGGGGTTGCTGGTTAGGGGGAGGCTTCAGCTGGGCCCTGCTCACTGTCATGTCTTTGCTGAGCTTTTCTTTCAGCATCCTTCTCCAGGTGAGTGTATCCAGGGCCACAAGTGAGTTTGACAGTCCTGAAATTGAATTCCTGCTCTGCTTTATGGTTTCATGCCCAATCCTGTCTCTCTGCTTCACACTCAGTAATCTGTCACTGCTTTTTCTCTCTGGAATGTAGATTTTGGGTGACACATGCTTGGTGCTGTGTACCACCTCTTTGATCCTGGACCTTCCCTTTCATTTTTTACAGTGCCTTGCCTAAGTTTGCCATTCTCCAGAACCAGTAGTATTTGTAACAGAGGTGGCAAGTGCAGTCCTCTAGCTCCTGAGATATAGGGGGTTTATAACATGTGAAGTGCAGGGATGGATTTTAACTTCATTTCTCCCCATAACTCAGCACCTGACTGTCCTGAAAGGTGTTATCATCAATGATGTTGTCACATGGGAAATGTTAGACCCATGGTACAGCTCTTGGGCCTGGATTCCTCGTATCTGGCTTCATTAGAAAACTGCTTATTGCAGTGTTGGCAAGGTTAGAAGTACAAGTACATTGAATTTTCACTTCTTCCTCAAGGTGATTGTCCTTTGATATTTCTTATTTCCAGCATAGAAAGACTTTCTTCCTTGTTCCTCTTTTTTTCAATTTGCTTGACTTGATTAATTTGCTTTACTGCCTTCCTTACCTGGTCATGTGTGATTTTTCACCACAACTTTGTCCCTTTGCACTGCTCCTCCTTGCTTATGTGCCCTGGCAATTCCAGTGCTCATGTTTTATCTGTGGGGAGGTTTCCCCAGCTCTGGGGCCCTTCTGAGCCCTCTTTCTTGTAGGTACATCCCCCAACAGTTCCAGAGCCCCGCAGAGCATCCCACTGAGCTGCAATCCAGAGGCAAGCCCAAGCAGTGAGGAACTGAGATGACAACCTTGGATTCACTCTCCTCTGTCTGTCCCTGGGCTGAGATCCTGGGCTGACCCTCTTTTTTCTGGTCCCCATGGTTTGGAGGTGGCCTTTTGGCATCAGTCTTCACCAATTTCTCCTGGATGCAGTGCCTGATGCAGCCAAGCCTGGGCATACTGATCCTTGGTGGCAAGCTGGTAACTTGGCTCCTGCTCTGTTCCACTCTAAATGTGGTTGTGCACATATTGCCACCTCCCCGCCTCTTTTTGGACCCAGCTGAGGGCTCATCTGCCTCTTTAGCCTCTGTAGGTGAATTTGCTGTGCCTTCTGACTGCTTTGGGGCTTTTTCCCTCTTGCTGGCCAAATACTTGGTTTAATTAGATCTTCCAGATGACTCCATCCCACAGTGGTTGTAACAACATGGATCATTTTCCTTGGCCATTCAAAACAAACTCTGTCCTCCTGACAATGCTTTGTGCTTTTTGGGGCAGTCTGTGGCCAACTGCTTTTAGCACTGTGGTGGGTAAATTTGGCACCTCTTCTACCCTTTTCTCCCCAGTACATGTCCACAGTGGTATAACCCAGATGACAGATGGACAGACTGAGGAACAGAGAGGTGATTTCTCTGTAGCTGGTGGAAGATTCTGAGTTGCAAACCTGGTTTCCTGAGTTCCAGTATGTTGGATTTTCCAGCCTCATTGCAGAATCAATATACTCATGTTAATTGCAATTCTCAAAGTTAATTGCCCTGTCAGGAGCAAGAAATAGGACAAAGGGACATTCTTGGCTTGTCCAAAACCATGGCTGATGGGGCACTGTCCTTGCAGAAAGGGCACTCCCTACAGGACCCCATGTAAACACAGAGGAGTGGCAGAGGGAAGTGCTGAAGGCAGCAAGGGAGGGAATTGCCTCTGCAGTAGTGGCCACGTACCTACTGAACAGGGGGGATTTTGCTGTTCCCGCAGTTTTCCTGGATGCTTGAGAGCCTCAGTGCTCCCCAAGTGCTGAGGCTGAGCTATGCTGCAGGCTCTGTGTGTTTCAGGCTATTGCTAGGAGGCAGCAACACGTGGCCTTATCTAGGTCACGTTGGGAGCACTTGGGACAGTTCGTTTATGGACATTTTGTGTTGTCAGAGGTATTGGGAGAAGCTATTGGATTGTATTGAATAATGTATTCATTTAAAAGTTTCATGATTTTTTCTCTGACCACTTGCCAGCTGGAAGTAAAGCAGGGGGAAATAAAAAGAAAAAGTAAATTTATCTAAGGCCCACATCTCTGGAGACGATGAAGCCAGCATTTATAAATGCATGTGCAACTGTGCTTATGAATATGTACAACTGTCTAGGGAGTAGGGGATGGGTGTCATGAGAAGGGGAAATAGAAAATAGGAAAAGAGGATGGAAAGGAGGAGATGGTCAATAGCAAAGTAGCTCTGGAGATTTTTTAAAGTTTTTTTTTCACTGTGCAGATGGTGAAGAAAGTATCATTAGGTTGTTTCAACCACTGACTTTTCAACAAGTTACTTATCCCTCTGTGGTTCAGTTTCACATATTTCAAGCTCCAGGGCTCAGTGCCTAAAAATTGTGAGTCTCCAACAGTGCATGAGATGGGACCATGTGAATAGACCCAAGGTTTGAAAGGCGGGAGCAAGGGAGAAAATAAGCAATACAGAGGCATTAAAATATAAAATAAAACCCCACCAAACCAACAGTTTCTTCTTTCCTGTCTTTCTATTCTATACACACCTGGATTTAGCAAGGGAATCCTAATCCTGTCATGTGGTTGACCTGCTGGGCAGATGGTGAGACAGTCCCGTTTACTCTGCTGAGTGGTTTTTATTTATTTATTCTTCAAACTTGCAGCTGGGGAGCTCAGGGCAGGAATAAGAAAACTTAAATTATTTACCTCTTGCTGACAAACCAAAACACATCCTTTGGCAGGAGTCCTGATGCAAGTGCTGTGAATACCACATCAAATATTTAGATCATTAATTAGCAGAATGAATATCATGCCTTTCATTTTCCAGTGCTCATAGGTGAAAGAAGTGGTGTCCTGGGCAGCCAGCACCTCTCACCTTCCCCTTGTGCCACTGCCTTGTCTGCATCCAGACACATCTGAGACAGGGAGGTGACAAAGCCTCCTTGCTTAGGCACCATATGGAGTCTGTGCCATAACTGAAATGAGCCTGATTAAAGAAGTAAAAACAAGCCAGGTGTTGCACAGAAACTGTATAATTAGCACTTTGTGCTGACTATTTTTTCATTTCTTCTTTTCCTTTCTGCTTTTTGCTTAAACCCTGGACTTTTTTTTTCTCTTAATTTGCTAATCATCTCTCGCGGTGACTGAGTACACAGCCCTCCGTGCGCTCTTACCTTTTGATGTTAACATAAGAGAACTCTTGAATTTCAAAGAGCTTGGTGGGTATTTGAAAGAATAAAATGCGAAAGCTGCAGTGTAATCAAAGCTCATTATGGTTATTCTTGGTGTGATGTCTTTCTTCCTACATAATTAGCCATTTGGGGTTGTTGAAGCAGTTCATTTTGGTGGGTATTTTCTCTCCATACTCTGTCTGATTTCGATAATTGTGACCCATGGCCCTTTTCATACTTCATTATCCTCCCAAAGGTGTTTTTCTCCCTCCCAACAAGTCCTAATATGTTACCATGGAGAGAATTAACAGATTCATGAGTTCTCAAGGATGGGTGTCCACAGTCACCTCTCTAAAGCAAGTGGGTGATGACCAAAACCACGCTGACTTGGTCAGAAGGTGTAAATTTCTTCCTGCAAACATTTTCTATGTCTTACATGGTCTGGGTGACTTTTGCACTCGTATTTATTTGGAGATGAAATTGCTGGATCCAGTGCTTACCTCTGGGTAGGTGAAAAAGGATCCCAACAAATTCTTGAGGAGGATGGAAGAAGGGACCTTACAATGAAAATTTAAGGTGAAATTCTCCATGGCTATGTCTGGATAAGGTAAATAAATCAGAACAAAGAAAATTTCAGGCATTGTCGAAAGATAATTCAGCAGCAAACCTGTTCTTATTAGGGTGAGTAAACACTTTCTGGACTGGAGGCATGAGCTTTCATTTTGATGGTAACAGGTCTTTTGGCAATTTAAGGGAGAAAATGTTGTGATTTTTGGTGCAGCAGAACTTAAAAACTGTTTTGATTTGTTCAAATATGTCCATCACTGCAGTATATGTCTACCTATGTTTGATTTCAGTGAAAAAAATACATAATAACAGAGGGACTTCAAAGCACTGTAATATTGTCTTCTGATTTTTCCCATATAAAAGGGAAAAAAAAGCCATGCACAGACATAAAGAAAGGAAAGTATTAAAAAAAAATCAAAGCTGAGCAGAGGCACAAGTAATAGAAAAGCCGGCTTTGAATTTTTAAAAGTGCTTTTATGGTCTATCTGGGGAAAAAAAAAAAAAAAACTGTAATGTTGAAAACGTGGAGGATTTGATACCTCTTTTTCCCATCCTCCCTGAGGAGCACTGCAGGAGGGGTGCTTATATTCTGTGTTTGCAGCACCACGTGATCTTGTGTGATTAATAGAGCACCAGGCAGAAAATGCATTTGAGACAGGAATTTGGCTTTGCTGGGCATCTCTCTGTGCCTGCATCAAGTGGCCCCTGGCTTAGCAGCAGTTTTGGGCTTGCTGGGGTCTGTGCATCGATTTGCAGGGGCAATAATGAGCTGAAAGGGTGCTGAACCCAGTGGACAGCAGGTCCCACAGAGCCAGCCTCTGGACTGCTCCCACCGGGGTGAGTTGTTCACTCGAATTTGGGAAAGGTGTTGTGTGGTGAGTGAGTCCCACAAGGGATTTGCTGGCAGAAGGCTGTGATGGTACAGGTGAGGGGGTGCTGTGCCACCCACAGTGGTGTCTGTCATTCACCCCATGGAAGGGTAACAGTTTATGGAAGAGACCTTGGAGACGTCCTTCCCTCACGGACCAGCATGCTGGCCTTTCCCCCCTTGCTCTGGTCAGTCCCACAGATGGCCACTGCTGGGGTCATCTTCCCTGATTTATGGGGTGGCAAGCCCAGGCACAGAGTTGGCAGCAGACAATTTGGGGACAGTGGGAACCTGCAGCTGAGCTGAGACTGGGCTGCACCTCTTCCCAGCCCAGGGCCTTGGAAATGGTCCGTTTTCTTCCATAAGATGTTCTCTGGCAGGAGATCCTCTAAGGCACTGAGTACTGCTTAGAGCCCAGGCCTGAGCCTACACAGCCCAGTGCTTTGGTTGAGTTCTTCTGGCTGGTGCCAGCAAAAGCAGAATCAGCCTCTTCACAGCCACCTTCCCCTAGATTTAAGCCCTGCACTGCATTTCTGTCAGCTACAGGGGAGACCAGGCAGAGGCAAGCCTTGAATGTTCCAAGTTTCCTACGGCCTCCTCCCCTCCCACTCTCGGTGGGTTATTTATTTATTTTGCTGGCTTTTTTACAAGCCTGCTTCTTTCCTGCAGGTTGCACAGAGTTAGGTTTCCAGGCAATCAACACTTGTTAAATATTCCACTGAGCATGATATTGCTCTCCTGTCTCTGTCTACTGATGCTCAGCTACGGTAATTTGCTGAACTCAGCTCTGGCGTACGGGGATTTCTAAAAAATAACAAGCCTGTTAATAACAATAATTAAAAAACACTTGACAGGTGGAAACAGCACATCTAAATTGTTCTGTGTGCCCCAGTGGGAGGAGGGGCGCTGAGCCACTTTTTCCCAGTACTTTGTTCAGGCTGTGGGTGTTTGAGAAGTGTTGGTTAATTCTGCTTGGTACAAGCCAAAGTGTCAGGGTGGCCACAGCAGCTCCAGACTGTTGCTTAGGGGACAGTGGCTTTCTCTTCCTTTAAACCTTAGCATGCAAGACATCTGAAGTGGGGGAAAAGAATGTTTTTTTTTTTCCAAGATCCTGAAACTGGAAGAGGCAGGGATTGTCTTTCCAGAGAAAGTAATTATTGGAAGTGATTTTTGAGGAGCTCCACAGGGGTGGTGCTAGGCTTACCCACTCTGGTCTGATAGAAAACTCCCTTTTTTGAGGATTTCTGCCCAGGGAAAAGAAAACCAGCATAGAGGAAGGGTTGATTATATATGGAATTCTTTCCTATGAGTTGCTCAGAGAAGTTGTACATGCCCATTTACTTGAAGTGTTCAAAACCAGGTGGGATGGGGCATTGAGCACCCTGGTCTAGTGGAAGTAGTCTCTTCTCTGTGGCACTGGGATTGGAACTAGATGATCTTTAAGGTCTCTTCCAACCCAAACCATTCTATGATTCTTTTTCATGCATCTGCCTTGGGATGTCCTGTATGCCTTCCAAAAAAAAAAAAAATCTAGTTCAACTCTTTATCTCTGCAGGGTTGTAATTCCACCACCTAGAGAGGTGGGAGTACGCCAGTGCAGGCAGAAGGCACCTGGCAAAGGGGAACCCCATGACTGGGGTGGGCTGCATTTTTTGCCAGCTGGTTGGGTGGCTCCCAAGTCCCCTGGGGCTTCTGCTCTTTGTAGCTCTTCTCGCTGCGGTCTGAGCCAGGGATGTGCTTTTTCCAGACTTTCAGGTGCTTTTTTTTTGCAGGAGTTTTGGGAGCTTGAGAGACCGGGAGAACCTGTTAATAAGGATCTGGCAGGGCATCAGGGCTGCAGGATTGTTAGGTAGTTGGGTGACTGCTGTCCTGTGCCAGTGGGAGGTCTGAAGATCTGAAATTTGGCAGGATTTTAAATGCTTTATGGAAAAGGAACCATTCTCAGGATGAAGGCAAAGAAGTTTAAATGCTGTAAAAGCTTGTACAATCTGACTAGCATTATCAAAGTCCAACTCAAGGACTTAGGCGGCATTTGGAATGCTCTGGGGCTTCTTCTTCAAGCAGACAGCCTTGACCCTTTGCTGGGGCAGGATTTTAAGCATGTGCAATAGCAACTGCAACTCCACGTCTTACGTGTCAGGGTGACTTTTGCACTGGTGTTTATTTGGAAATGAAATTGCTGGAGCCAGTGCAACCAATCCATGACCTCTGCACCATGAGAGAAAGGGAAAGAACAGCTCTAGATTTTTTAATAATAACAATAATAACCCTGGTGTCTTAATTAAGGGAAAATTGTAGCTTTGAGCCATGTTTCACAGTGTCTGTTCACACAGAGGGAGCTGTGAACCACATCCTCCAGCCTCTCTTTCATTACCTGGGTGGGCTCCAACCCTGCTCTTACTCTCTCGGCAGCCTCTGAAAGACAATCAGCTTGTGGATAAAAACAGGAGTTGTCCTGCCACAGCTGTGAGCTGTGTAAAGATGGGTTTGAGCTGGGTAATTTTCTCTGTGTTGGCCCTGCTGTTGCTGGACAACGTATCATTAGCCCCAGAGGCGGTGGAGAGGTGACGGCAGATTTGCTGTAAGCCCAGTTAGGAATCCTGGTGCAGTTTGGACAAAAAAAAAGAGCCAGATTTTCTTGGCTTTACGTGGGGTTCTGATTTTGCTCACAAAGGTGAGAAGGGTAAATCTCAGCTATTTCCTTGGAATACAGAGCACTTAGCTCATAGATCAGGGTACAGGTAGTTGATAGCCAGGCACTGTAGATTACTGGGGGGTAGTTTCTGGGTTCTTATCTAGTATATCCTTTCTAGAAATCTAAGCCTGGTCTTCTGTGCTTTGGCAGGAGGTCAGTTCCTTGGCTTTTCCACTCCATTTGCTGGGTTGTTAAGTTGGTCAAGCACTGTCATGGATTTTCTCTCTTCATTCCTTAGCGTGCTGAACCGCACCCCAGTGCACCTCGTCCATGAAATCATACTTGTGGATGACTTCAGTGATGACCGTAAGTGACCCTTTCCCTGTTAAAAGCAAAGGGCCCAAAAGCCTGTGAGAGACTGGGATTAGCACTGAGACAGGGGAGAGTTTGCTGGAGTGGAAGGAAATTTAAAGCTCTGTAGCTGTGAGAAGCAAACCCTGCTGTGCTGGGTTTGCATTGCCATGTGTAGAATTCAAATTCCAGATGATCCAACCTCTTCTCACAAAAATAATGCAAGAAAAGCACTTGGTAAATGATTTTATGCCCAGCAGATGTGAATCCAGTCCTTACACGATTATCCCACCACAACCTTGGTGTGTTTGAGCTGGCTTTCAGTTGTAGCCAGGAGCAGTTCTGGGTTGACACCACTGGAATTCCACGGGACAGTCTGACCCTATGTGTACATTCTGCATACATTTATGTAGGTGGTCAGCAACTCTGGATTTTTTTTTTTTTGCCACCTTGTTTTTCACCCATGGAAAGAGTACTCCCTGCATGGGTTTTCCCATTTCTGAGGTGCACCATAAATAGCATTATACACCACAAAAACAGCCCACATCCTCCTGCTGTTCCCTCCCAGTTAATAGCGTGATTCAATGGAAATCAATAGCCCTGGTCTCCAGTAGAAGGTAGCTGAAGCCCCAGGGGCTCCCAGGGAACTACCCCTGCTGAAGACCTTGCCTAGTTTGGTGGGAGACTTGAAGATCTAAGTGCTCAGAAACACTGTCTCAAGCATAAAAAGGATGATAAACTGGCTGAGTGGTCTGTGGCACTTATGTTTCAAGGAGCTGCAAAATAAAGCTGTTTACTTGGAAGCGTGAAAACAAAGCCAGATAGGTTTCTTTTAAAAAACCTAGGCTTTGCTCTTGGATGTTATAAATAGGCACTGCCTCGGAGAGCATTAGGGACAGATTTCACACAAGACCCACTTCTTGGCATTGACACCTCTCTGGGAAGTTGCTGAAGCTAGGGGAAGGAGCCGCTGTGACTATGGTGAGCCCTGGAGCAGCTCCAGCACACGGGGCAGGCAGGCTGGGCAAGTCTGGGAACTGGCAGAATGGCTGTGATGGGGAAGAAGAGCAGGTGCAGGGACTTGAGCTGCCCTGGAGAACAGCAGAGCAGGATTTTTGTGGGTGGAGTAAATGCCAGGTATTTGGCTAAATAGGCAAAGCACTTGCCTTCCTGGAAGGAGTCAGGTTTGTAGGAGCACAGATGCCCTGTCCCAGCATGCCAAGTGATGTGAGCCAGGGAGAAGGAGCAGGGTTTTAACTCATCCCAGGGCACCAGAGGGGAGTGTGTTTCCTGTGTAACTTAGAGCAGCCCCTCAGCTACTCAGCACTTCTCAGCTATCTGACATCTTTGCTGTGATAGTCTTGAGCCTGCTGGCATCTGCTTTGCATGCATTTACATAAAATACATTCATTTGCATAATGCACTACACACACATGGTCAGTTTTTTCCCTGCAACCCAGCCCAAGCAATTAGTGCTTTTATCTCATGCCCAGTTGTGTCTCATTTCTCACCTCTCTCTGCCTGCTGACCTGTTATTCACTGGGATGCAGTTCTTCAGCACGCGAGTTCCCCCTGTCCCCAGCAGATTTTCACTTTGAGTCCATAGCCAAGCCCTGCCACTCCTGTTCCTCTGTTCCAGCTTTGTCCCTGAATTGTTAGGGCTGTGGGTACAGTGATCTCTTGCTGACAGAGATTTCTGGAAGGGGCGAAAGTGCTCAAGGGGGTGTGTGGGTTCAGGGGTTAGGCAGAGGGGATGAGGCACTCACCTCTGTGTTTATAGTGCTGAGGAAGAGGAGGGAGAAGGGTGAGAGCCATGAACGGGTTGTGGAGGTCATAGTGTGGGTGTGTAGAGGTGGAGGGGGCTGTGATGGGTACACCTGACATCCTCCACTTTGCTGGGAGAAATATGGGGGAGGAGGGATCCTAGGGCTGTGTGTGGGGTTGCAGGACTTCCCTCCCTAGCTCAGATGTACGTGGCTATCAGGCCTTTCTGCCCCATGGAGCTCTTGCCCAGGGCATGAGGACCCCCCAGCTGCACCACAGGGTTCTCTTTGAGCATCCCTTTCTCCTCATTGAAGGCTCCAGGCCACCACAGGAAGCTCCTGCCCCGCCAGGCAGACACGCATCAACAGCTTGTGCGTTGCTTTGCAGCTACCAAAAATAGTCATTTGCATTAATGTGCAGAAATTTAGATTCTGACCTGAACCACAACTTTTCTGTGCTGATTTTAGAGCATAATTCAGCTGCTCTCAGTGTAAATCTGCTGAATTTACACTAGTTTTATGAAAACTGCTGCTCTGCCAGGATCAATTTATGCTTCACGAGCTGAGGGGTGAGGCTGTTGTGACCCAGCAGTGCCATTGCCCTAACAAACCATCAACCAGAACAGGACAGGGTCCTCCCCCTGCTCCCAGTCTCTCCTAGGAGTCCCCATTTCTGCTGCCAGAGCCCCTGTGGGGGCTGAGGGTGACTTGTCCTCCCTTTGTGTCTCTCCCCAGCTGATGACTGCCGCTTGCTGGGCCAGCTCCCAAAGGTGAAGTGCTTGCGGAACGGCCGGCGGGAAGGTGAGAGCTGCCTGCCCACAGCCCACGTGGGAAACACAGGTTTTGGGAGGTGGGAGAGGGATGGGGCCACAGGGAACCTCCATGCAGTGGTCAGCCAGGAACTCAGTGGCTCCTGGGATCAAGGGGGACCCTGATAAAAGAAAATGTGATAAAGAGCTGGGATTTGAAATGGATCTCCCCTCTCTCACACTGAAAAAGATGGGACTATTAAGATTTCCAGTGAGGCTCAGCTGTAGCTTATTAGCCAGAAAATTAGAACAGGCAAAACAAAGCCCCGGGTCTTATTTGTAAAGATGTTAGCTCTAATGAAAGGGAGAAGATCTGCTCCTGCTGCTTCTGTGGGATTTTTTTTTTTCCTAATAATTAATTATATTTGAGAGATTAAGAAGGACTATATAGAGGATGAATGCATGTCCTACTGGACTGCTGCTGGCAACCTTTGGAGACATCTCCCCATTCCCCATAGCCTGAATGTGTGTTTCAAATCCTGGTTTGCAGTATTAGGATAACTAAACACAAAGAAGTTTTTTGGTGCTGCAAATCCGAGGTATGCATCCAGGTCGGTGTTGGGTTGGGGAGACTGAGGAGTGGAAAAGGTTCTTTCCTCTGTGGATTCTTTCTGCAAAGGATTTCAGCTCTGCAGGCCTGGTGACAGGGTGGCATCAGGTCCAATGGATGTAAGAGACATTCCTGCTTTGGCAGGAGATCAAGGGAGATCTCCGTAGACCTGCACCTCCTTCTCACCTTTCTCCCCTGTCTTATGGGGGTACGTGTGTGCTCATCTCCAGCACTTGAGAGACCTGCAGTTATTGTTATATTATGTTATTATTATAAACCAGTCACAGTGTGGGAACTCAACCTTACCTTGCTGAATACATCACTAAAACTGTATCCCCCAGGGGCTGCCAGGATTTGGGAAGGGCAGGGGTGGGTAAAGAACATACCTATGCACAAGATCTTAGGAGTCACAGAGATAAAGGGACAAGTCTACATTGGAGGAGGAGACCTTGGAAAATTCGGTATGCTCCAGGCTTTGTTCATGTGTTCCCTCTCCAGCTCAGAGGCTGTTGCTTAACCATTTTCCCCTAGGGAATTTTAGTATCAAAGTCAGTGACCTCCTGCATGAACCTGATGTGTGGCTGCTCCCTGAAATCCTGTTTCTCTTCATCTGCGCATATGTCCCCTTGTATTGGCACTGTTTCTTCTTCATAAAGAAATTCTGCTCCTCTTGAGTCACCTGTTTCTCCTCTTGTTTGATGCGTGCAGCAATCCATTCCCATCTCCAAATGATTCCAAATTCACCATCATGACCCTGATAAGTCAAGCACCTTGAAAAGCCAGCCCTCTTTCCTTGGTGGAAAATGTGTTCCCGTTGAGCTGCAGATCAGCAGTGCCCTCAGGGTGGGAGAGAGGTCCAGGGATCACTGGGACACAGAAGGGGTTGCAGCAGGAAAAATCAGTAGTCTGAGAAAAGCTTAATTCTGGTACAGTGTGTTCCACCCTCAACTCCTCTGTCCCATTCCCCACTGCCTCATATCTGTGTTAGATTTGTTGCCTGCAGAGGATCATGAAAGCATTTTGAGTCATGTTTTGTCCCAGAAGGTGACAGCAGAATTAATTGTGCAAATTACATATTGGCATAAATGCCATAAATCAGTAACCTTGGTGGAGCCATTTATTTCTTTGGGAATCTTAGGAAATGCTTGGCATACCTTGCAGTGCTGGAAAGGAGACAGTGAGCCTGGGATATGTTTTATCTGGGCGGGATTCAGGCAGGTTAAAACCCAGGAGAGGCATGAGTGGAGGAGGCTGGGGATATTACCCAGCCATCTGGGCAGCAGCTGACATGGTGCATCCCTGACCAGGTCTGATCCGGTCCCGAATCCGAGGGGCAGATGTGGCAAAAGCCAATGTCCTGACCTTCCTGGACAGTCACTGCGAGGTGAATAAGGACTGGCTGCTCCCTATGCTGCAGAGGATCAAAGAGGTGAGTGCTCCTGAGAGACCAGGGTCATCCTCAGGGGATGCATCCCGATGTCCCCCTCCTCTTCCTCTCAGTGGGTGTGACCATCCAACCATAACCAGCTGCATGCAAGCATCCCAGTAAGGGGTACAAAGAGGCCTTTTGGGGTATAAAGTGGCCTTTTGTGGTCTTCCTCCACCCAGCAGGCAGGTGTCTGTGTGACTGGGGGAGCTTGTGGGTGGGTGGGACAAGTTGTCTCCCAGGGCAGTCTCTGACTGGCAAGCACAGGTTGAGTGGTGATTGGGGAATACATGGGCAGTGCTCCAGCAGAGATTTTAATTAGGCTCATGTAAAATGCTCAGTGATGATGATTTAAGGGAGTGATGGCTCCTTGAATAGGGGCCGAATTTAATTTCATGCAAATTAAGCGCTAATAAATTGATTTAATAGGATTTAAATTCTGCTGATTTTGGAGCAGACAATGACATTCGCCTTTCTCTGGCGGCGACTCTTTTGCCAGACGTGCACACAGAGGCTGCTGGCTCCTTGTCACTCAAGTCAGGGGAGCTCTGTGCCCATGACCTGCTGGCAGCAGAGTGCTGGGATTGAAACCTTTAGCTCCAGTGTGGATGCACCATTCTTTCCCTTCACTGTGCCTGGCTCCTTCACCCCTGCTATACCTCTGCTACACCTCTGGCTCCTGATGGCCAGTGTTAATTACTCAGCAATTTTATAACTCCTGAGTTGCATTGACATAAGGGCAGCTGAGAAGCAAGGGGATGCTGAGGTGGTGGGTCATGGAAAAACCTGCCTGGCTGGTGTTCACAGTGCCCCTCACCTAAGGCATCTGCTTTTCACACCTGCAGATGTGACAGCTGTGATGGCTGGACTGCGCATCCCCTCTGTGTGTCAGTGATGGCACCAGGGGCAAGGGGGGCACAGCACCAGGGCAGGTCCCTCCACATGGACGATGGCAGTCAGTGCTGCTGGCACGCACAGCACAGCCAGCACTGGAGAGGCCCCAACCTCGGTTTGCAGGCTGGGCCACAGAGCTGCTGATAGATGGAAATGTGATGGAAATGGTCTGTTGTATCATCGATCGTGGCTCCGGTGGAGTTATGAGAACACATGCTGTGATATCCCACTGGAGCCTCATGGCTGGACTGTCCAGGGTGGGATTTACTCCTAAACTTTACAGCATCACTTGTTCCTCTGTGCTTTTTAAAGGCAGGCATTCCTTGCTTTTTGACAGAGCCCCGCTTGTACTTCAGTGAGGACTATCCAGAGCAGTTTCCTCTTTCCCAGGCAGAGCTTTTGATGTGTTTTGTCAGGAGAAGGGCATCGAAGGCAGCAGGAAGGGGGCTGGCAGATCTTCTTTCCCACAGCCGCAGGATGGTGCCCCATATCCAGCATCCATGGGGTAGGTGAGCGTGAATGCCATGTGCAGCATCACCATAGGAGTGTCAGTGCCTTGTGATCTGAATGCAGCATCAAGCACACACATCACCTCTGTGAACTCTTCTGGATTGAATCTTTCCCCAGCTGGAAGGAAATAAGGCAGTCTGTAAGCTTGCAGTGCTGCTCATGCTGCCCTGACCTTGCCCAGTATCTTGCAGCCTCAGGCAGCAGGGGAGATGTACTACAAGAGTGTTGAGGAACCTGCCAAGCCAGAGGGGTCCAGCTTTCCTGCTTTTTAACTGCTCACAGAAGCTGCAGGATAGGGGCAGAGTCCTCAGACTCCTTCTTCCAGGCCCACCGTACCCATCCTTGCCAGCTGGGTTAAGGTATTGATCAGTGAAGTGTATGAAATGTTACTGCTGCCACCTTCAGGCTGTGCTCTAGAGATGGGCTCCCTGTCCAACTGCTCCATGAGGATCACCTGCCTAGGAGGAGCATTTTCTCACTCTATTGCTCCCAGGAACAGTCTGTTTTGAGCTAATGTGGTTTAAGTTCCCAGCAAATGAGCAGTGAGTGCCTCAAGGCACACCCATCACTTTGCCACCACAGCCCAGCCACCCCGCTCTTTGCTTCTCTTATTTTCTCTGCCAGAGCAGCTATTCCTGCCACTTTCCATGGTGGGAAGTGCCAGAGCCCATGTGTGCCACCATGCAGCCATGTGGAGGTGCCCCTCAAGCTCCACCTCGAGCTTTCTGAGCAGCTGATGACTCTCCCCATCCGAGGCTGATGCTCACTGGTGGGTGTGAGCAGCACATAACCAGTGCATGGATTTGGAAACCAGCAGGAAGAGCAAGTGATGGAGTGTGGGGGAAAGAGAGAGAGCCTGGGGGATCTCAGCCCTGTGCCTGGGAGGGTGCCTGTCTCAGGGAGCAGCAGTGATGGTCAGTGTCTCACACCAGCATGTTTGCAAATGCATAGCTGAGCACGTGGGCCTGGGCTCTTATTTGTACTTAGGGAACAAATATCTCTAAAGTCATTAATGGTGCATTTCAACTGAGTAACTTCTCTAAAAATGTAATTATCCATCCCGAGGTATTTTTACAGTATGACTCAACTAGCTTGTCCCAAAACTGGATTTTCAAATGGCACTGGGATGAACCAATGAATGGTGACTCCCCACTCCCAGGTCAAATACCCACAGTCTGGTGCTTTCCTGGGATAAAGGAGACATATGAAGGGCAGCCTGCCTAATCTTTGCCTAATCCTGCTATGGGGCCAGAGGAGCAACTGTTGCCCTTTTTGTTGTCCATTACAAGGTTAGGATGTAGAGGCTGAGAGCCACCCTGCAGCCAAAGTCCTTCTCCAAGGCTGAAATATATCTGTTATTTTCAGGACCATTTTCAGAGTTTTTTCCTGTTGGTTTAGATCTGTACATTGGTGTGCTTGAGAAGGGTATTGCAGAAATTAATTCTCAGATTTTTGAGAGAGAATTGAAGGCTTGGGTGTTGTTAATATTAGCATGCCCTGGTATGGGTGGGTAGCAAAAAAACCCAGAAAGATGAAGCTGCCTATAATAAGATCGGGTACTCAGCCCAAAATAAATCATAGCAACAGCACTGTGCTCTTGAGCATGCCGTGCTTTTCTTTTGAGGGTCAGAGAGACCTTCATGAAAGCTGAGTAAAAATATGTGTTCTCAGGACATGGCAGGGAAAGCGAAGCAGGGAGAAGACAGCACTTCTCAAGGTTAGCATCTTGCAGTAGTGCTCTCAGCCCAGATGTGAAGGGGATTTTCTTACAAGAAGTTGTGCCATGCAGTGAGTAGCAGTGAATTGAAGCTGGGGGTGGTGTCAGCTAGCTAGAAGTGCTCACCAGTAAGATGCTTGAGGGGCAGGTTTTAAATGAGTGGATGCAATCCTTTCCCTGCACTGCTCAACACACAAAGCAGATGCTTTGCTTAAAACCTTCCCTCTAGCCTCAGGCAATTAAAGGATACTTGGCTGTACTGAACTGCGGCAGCTTGGGGGGCCCTGTGCAGCAGCCACGATGGATTTGGTGGGTTTGAAAGGCTCACCGTGCTTGGATGTGGCTTGTGTTTCCCTGTGCAGTTCAGAGGTGCAGCAGACCTTGCCCTTTCAGTGAGATGTTTGACTCACAGAAAGTGATGGTGAGACCCCTGGCTTGACCCTGTTATGGAAATACCAAGTATTTGTCATGCTCAATTGGAAAATCAGCTCTAGTCCAGCTCCCAGCTCATGGCCTTTGGTTGCTTCTTCCTACAGCTGCATTTGAATTCTTCTTTGTCAGGACTAATTTCTAAAACAAAGTCTTTCCCCAGTGAGAGAGCAAGCCCGAGTGTGCTCAGATGCTTTGCTTTGTATAGCTGTGAAAAACAATTTGATCTGGTGAGGGTAAAACCTTGAAGTTTGAGCTATAATTGGAGTTTGGGATTTTTGAAAAGAAAAAGGGAGATAAGAGACCAGTCAAAGCTGTCAGAGTCTCTTCCTCCTGTAGATATTTTTGTTCATAACTGTTTGTATAATCTCTTTGCCCATAACAAGATGTTAATTAAATCACCACCAACTATTTTGAATAAATCAGGTCTTTCTTTTTTAACCCTTTTCCAACTTTGGCAAAACTAACTATACTGCAATAGTTGGTGCATTAAAAAAAATACCCATATTTAAGCTATGTTTTTCCTCTGTCATTTCAATTGCCTGTTTGTGACTTGACTTCTGAAATCCTGTTAAAAGTATTTAAGGGAGGTGAAAGGGGAATATTTTGGTGAATTTGTAAAAGGCAGAAGGAGCTTTGCATCCAGCCCAGCCAGTTGCAAAGTACAGGCACAGTCTGAGGAAGAGGAGGCAGTGAGGGACACTTGTCCCTGGTAAAACCAAATGACACCAGTGTTTCCAGGCACTTGATGTCTCCAGGAGTTTGGTGCCCCTTGCCCATTTTGAATGGTGTCATCTGAACTCACGGGTGTTTTTGCTTCTGCTTTGCAGGATCCCACCCGAGTGGTCAGTCCCGTTATTGATATCATCAACCTGGACACTTTTGCCTATGTGGCAGCTTCCTCAGACCTCAGAGGAGGTGAGTCCAAGCTTTGTGCATGTCCTGTGGGCATCCATTCCATGGTGGGCATGTGCACTGGCCTTTGCCACACCTCTATCTCCTGCTGCCTCCCAAAAAAGCACATGAACCCTGCTCAGTGCTGCTGCTGGCTGCTCAACACACGGGTGTGGTGTGAGCAGTGGGCTTGCTGCAGTGAAGGAGGCAGTAAGGCAGGAAAGAAGTGTCACGTCAAAGGCACCCTGGGCAGCACTGAGGGCGACAGGAGGAGATGGGAGATGTCTAGGCAACAACTGGAAGATGCAAGTGTAGTGCTTATTAGTATGCCTGTGCTATTTGGAGCACACAGTATCCATCAGGGCATGCTTCTGTGTGCACAGGGGGGACTAGGTTGCAGCAGCAGCTTTAATTCTGACTTTTCCTGCCTTTGGAGCACTTGACTTTGAAATTGTAATGCAATGTGCTGTTTCTTGTTCATATGTAGTAGTAAAATATGTTAGGCATTGGACTTTTCGCTCAAGAACTGCATCTCTGTGGCTTAAGTCATTTGAAAGTGGGGAAAATGTTCCATCAAACACAACTTTGGCAGCCTGCATTGCCTCCTAATCCATATCAATTTCTAATTTCCCCATGGCACTTCTCTACTCTGGTTTTAGGTTTTGACTGGAGTCTGCATTTCAAATGGGAGCAGCTTTCCCCGGAGCAGAAAGCCAAACGACTCGATCCCACCGAGCCCATTAAGTAAGTCAGGAGGGGAAAGGAAGCACCCGAGTAACAACGAGGGGCAGGACAGGCTTCTCATGTGACATCACATGTGTCCCCATGCACCACAGCAGTGTGCAGTCTCTTCCAGGACAGCTCTGAACTTCTAGTACCTCTAGTGAGCTCCTGGCTGGCCTGGGTTTTGCAGTACAGCTTCACCTTCCAACACTGAGGCCTGAGAATGCAACAAAGATGGAAGAGGTGTATTTATGGTTACGGGAATTTTGATAGTGCTAAGGATTATGGTTAGGGGAAAAGCCCAGTGCTGTAGCAAACTGCTTCTCTCAGTTCAGCTACCACTTAAAAATAAGGCACTGCCCTCATGATAAACTTGGTGCCTAGTCCAGCCTTCCCAGATCAGCACTGATCTTCTCTTCCTCCCTAAGACTCCTCAGAAACAGGGACGTGCAGGAGAGAGAGCAAAGCTGAACAGGAGAGGAGGTGCCATCTGTCCTCATGCCATGGGATGGAGGGGGTCCTTTATTCTGCTGGAAATCTCTGCTGGCAGCAAGCCTGGTGCTGGTGTCTGCAGCCCCAGACAGATGTGAGGCGTGGAGGACCCCCAAGTATAGGGGGAAGCTCAGGGCCTCAGAAGGCTCCCAGGCAGGAGAAAAGCACTGCTTCTCCATAGGATGCTGCTGTTAACAGGAGCTCTCGCTTCCCACAGGCTGGCCTTGCATTCCTGATCACTCTGCAGTGTAGGACACTGGAGATTAGCCTGGGCACAGCAATCACCCCAGTTTCCTGCAAACCTATACTGAGACATCCACACTGTCTCAAATTGAATGGAGATGGGACTTGTGCCAGCAAGCAGCAAGTCTCCTCAAGCTATCTTCTGGGTCTGCCCTCCCCTCCTCCACGGGCCTTCTCTGCGCAGTTTTCTTAGCTAATCTGAAGAAAGAAAAATAACCCTGGTTTGAAATAAAGATCACACAGCTAGTGATGGCTTTTAAAAAGCCCTTCTGAATTGGCTCTGCCTTCCTCTCCCCGGTGGAATGGTGCTCTTAATAGGCTGGCTCCAGGCAAAAAGCCCGTCTGAGTGAATAACCCCTGAGTGCTAAGTGCATTTTTGATGCTGAAGCCTACAATCAGGGCTGTCAACTTTGGGCTTGTAGGAGTTGTGCTGACGGGTGCATTAGCCAGTCATTAAGTGCCAGGCAATTTGTGATTGGCAGCAAAACACCAAAGCAGCTGAAAGAAAGGGGCCGATACATTTTGGGGTGTTTTGTCCTTTTATTGGTGAGAAGGTGATGTCCTGGTCATGGAAGAGGAGGCAAAGGGAAGGGCTGCTTCGATGCATCCAGGTCCTGCAGCAGTACTTGAGAGTGTGTACTCTTCTCCTTGTCCATTCTTCAGGACACCCATCATTGCTGGAGGGCTGTTTGTGATCGACAAGGCCTGGTTCAACCACCTGGGGAAGTACGACAGTGCCATGGACATCTGGGGTGGGGAGAACTTTGGTGAGTTGTTTCTTCATCCTCCTATGCCTTGCTGTATTGGCTTCCCTTTCTGAGTCATGCAGGATGGATACAAGGTCATTTCAGACTTCACTTTGAATGTTCTGGGTGGTTTCCCTCATTTACATTCATAGGTTGTGGTCTTAGGAGAATGAGAGATCCAGCAACCACAAATGATGGGAAGCAAGCAATTGTTGGTACTTGGGACCACCTACCTTCCGTGCTGCTTTGATTTCCTGTAGGCAAATACTTCAACCACACAGTTTTCAGCTTTGGTGTTACCAACAGATGAGAGAACACTACATGCACCCTTCTATTCCTTCCTGATCTTATTTTCTCCTTAATAAAGAAAAGAATTTGTCTTAATCCATTCATGACAGCATTTCCAAGCTATGAATGGAGGTATCAGTCCCTCCTTGAGTTTGCAGAGTACCTGAAACTGTAGCTCCATCAGCATGCAGCAAACAGGTGGCAGAGTGCCAGGGCTGCTTATCCATTCCTGTATCCCTGGATAGCTGAGAGCTGCCTGTCTCTCTCTGATACTATCACTTTTCCTGCACCAAAAAAAAAGGGTACTCACCTAAATTCTGTCACCTCTGGCCCTTATCATGGGACAAGATGGACATGAGGAAATCTCCTGCAAGCACACTTGAGAGGGCACATGAAAGAGGCAACAGCCTGTCCCTTGTCCCCTTGTCAAACAGAACTGGATTGGGCTGGGCTGTTCTCCCTTTGGAACTGCAGTGATGCTGTGGATCAGAACAACAGACTGTGCCCAGTAAAGAAGGGAGAGGCACTCGATGTCAGGCAGACAGATGAGAACCTGGCTTTAGTAGCTTGCACCTCTGGGGAGTGGGGCTAGCCAGGAAGCTCTTGTGTCTCAACACACACAGCGATGCTGTCAGTCATCCAAGGGAGCAGATGCTGCTGCCTTGCAGTAATCCATCCGCTGCCTGGCACTGGTGTTTCCTTCACATGCCTTGTCCCCTAGATATATTTTATGTATTTCTATCTTGTTATGCAGTAGGAATCTCACTCTTTCATGCTTTCTCTCTGGGGGAAGGTGTCTTGCCTCTGGACTGACCTGAAGTATCTGAGTGGGGTGGCTGTGAGGAAACGTGGGAGGGGAGTGGCAGCCCTCCCACCTCCCCTGCTGGATCAATAGCCCAAACAAAGCATTCAAGAAGGGAACTAGACAGGAGAGGAGCTGCCATGCTGTGCCTGACCTCCTGTCTGTCTGTTCTTGTCATAAGTCTCTGACAGCAGCCAGCAGGAGCTGCTCCTGGGAGATGAACAGTGACAGGACAGCCTGCTCTTGGGGGAAGCTCCATCCTGGCAGCTTTCCCATGCCCTGTAACAGCAGGCATTGTGCTCCTTATGCCTGGTTGTGGCCCATCCTGCAGAGGAGAGGTTTCCCTTACTGGTGCTATTCCCCAGGAGACTGGTCCTGACCAAACACTCACTGGCAGTGCTGCAGGGTATACCATGGCCTCGTGTGACAAAGGAGAGCAAAATCAAGGTTAACATTGCAACAACAAAAGGCAGGTCTGCATAGCAGCAGGGCAGATCCTATCTTGCCCATCTTCCTGGGAGCAGAAGCATGCTTGGCTCACAGCTCCATCTCCTGCAGGTGTGGCAGTCGAGGACAGTGTGTCCCATCTCTCCTTTGCACCCTGCTGGCCTGGGCCAGCTCTGAGCAGGAAATGGACAGCAGGAGCTGACATGGTTGTTTTGGGCAGTGAACCATGCTCTTCCTGGTAGCTCAGTCCTGAGGAGGAGCAGGACTCTGGTCCTGAGGAGCAGCACTGCTGCCCTTAATGTTATTGATGGGGCAGCTAGAGGGGGCTGGAGGCTTCAGGCAGAACAAAAGTGAGCGTGTTTGGCTTTGAAGGAGGACACTGTAGGTGTTTTGCACCTTAAATTTACTGAATTCCCTGTACATGAGTAATGGCAGGAAGGACTTGCAGGCCAGCAAGAAGTGCTAGAGGTATTTTGCTGAATGAGGGCTGAGTTCCACGCACCCCAACATGTACTGCTCACACCCCTCCTGGGGGTCACTTGGAGGGGCTGTGTGCACTGGCAACATCTCCTGAGGGTCAAGGGAAGCACACTGTTGGTTCCTGCTCTCCTGGCTCCTCTGAGTTGACCCTGTACCATGCTTTAGTTGTTACTTCAATTTGCCTTCCCTTGGGACACTTAGCTCTTGGCTGCATGTCTGGAGACCTTGTTTGTTACCTGCCATGGATGGCTCCATGGGTGATCCCTCCCTGTGGAAACTTGTGCTTTTATTGCTCCTGCTGTACCTGGAGCAGGCTCTGCAGGGTGCAGCAAGCCTGAAGCAGAGAGCTCAGACTCCTCAGCATCTCCTGTGCACTGTGTCCTCATTCCAGTTCATAATACACAGAGATGACCTCTTCACTAGGCTTTAAAAAGATCAGGCAAGGACTGAATGGTGCGAGTCTTTCCCTTTCAGCACACCAGGGAGCTGCTCTTCTCCCAGGCTGAGCAGAAGGACCAGAGGAGGGGAAGGCAGCTTGCAGTAGCCACGCTGTGCTCCACAGCTGCTCAGCTGGTTGTCCCTTGTATCAGGTGTCCTTGTGGCTGACACAGCAGTGCCAGCAGAGTGGCCAGTGCTGTGACACACAGACAAGTGACAGCAGCAGCCACGTGCGAGGAGAACCGAGAGCAGCAGCTTAGAGTGGCCGCATCCTGCCATAATCTCATTTCCCTGCAGCTGTGATTGAGCTTGCTCCCAGTATAGCACCAGGACATGGCACAAGGGCATGTTTTATTGGCCTCTTAATACCCAGCACTGGGGAAAGTGGTGAGGCTCCAGCTGCTGTTGGCAGCTCTTGCATGTAAACACAGCAGTGAAGGGAAGGGAATTTATGGGAAGGAATACTGCTCCCTGCTGTGCTTTCCCACCCCTGCCATTGCTTGTCCCTGCTGTGGGATGCCAGGGCCAGCTGTTGGGGATGAGATCAAGGCCTTGAATTTTGGACCCAGGCATCAAGGCAAGAAGCCTTTGCAGATGTGTCAGCCTCCCCTTTCCATTAGCTCAGGAGCAGGTGGGTGTGCTGGGAGTGGGATGGGAGCAGCATGAACTTGGCTTCCACCTCTGCAGCAGCTCAGGGCTGAGCTGTGTGTGCTCAGAGGGCTTTGGTGGTCCAGGCTCCAATTGGCCTTGCTCCCTGATGCTGTGAGCTGTTTTTGGAGGGATGGAAGCTTTGTAAGCCAGCAGTGCCTGCCCTTGGAGGAGAAAGAGTCCTGTTGGAACTGCCCAATTCCTGCCGTAGGTGCTTGTCTTGCCAGCATCTGACCTGGGAACAAGTCATCCTTGTGCTGGCATATATGAGGGGACTGCTGGGAGCACAAGCTGGCAAAGACCATGGGTGTTCTCCTGTCTTAATTCTGTAGTTAAATGGAGAGGGAGGGGTGGGTGTGAAAAGCAGTTATTAGTTTTGCAGTAGATACATGTTACATACATCTCTGCACTGTCAACAGATGATAAAATAGGATTCAGAGAACTGCAGAAGCCTTTTCATTTTAATTTCATTTCTTTTCCACGCTGGTTCTATCTGAGCATGACTGTCTGACAATAGAGCTACAGATTCATAGCTTCATAAGCATCAGGACCAGATGGACCCATTAGATCAGCCATGCTGCTTATCCTTCCTACCTCATCCAGCTCCCTGCCAAGAGCTTTATAACTTCTGGTGTCAGTTGTGCCACAGGATCATTTTCCTTGAGAAGGGCCCTGTGGGCCAGCCATAGAGTGGTTTGGAGTGACTGAGAGACATTTCCCATACTAACAACTTATCCTGTTTTTTGGGGTAATCCCTCCCACTGCTGACCTTTGCTTGTGTGGAGGTGTGTGCCTTACTTGACTGCAGCATTGGCACTCAAGGCCCAGAGTACCTGGTCTGGGTAAGCTCCTGTCCATTTTGGGACAGGTGATGACAGATGCACAGCTCTGTTCACTTTGCAGGGTCAGTGGTGGATTCATAAAGATGATGACATTTGTAGTCATTAATGGAGAGAATTCATAGCTTCTCCTGCTGAACTTGAGAGCCCTTTGGAGGGAAGTGACTCTGAAACAGGCAGTGCAGAAGTAATAAGGGAGGCACAAAACTGGTGAGAGGATTCTGCAGTGTATGAAAAGGGACCTGCTTACGGTCTCACACTTGCCATTGTGATTGCACCTGCTGTGCTAGAGGCAGGTTTCAAGTGCACTGACTTCAAACAGCTTGCAAAGAAGCTTTGAAATTTGCTTTTAAGGCCGTTGTGCCTAGGAAAGCCCATCTGGTAATTGATTTACCCCAGTTTAATGTTGCAGAGGATGAAGTAAGAGGTAATACCAGGATTCAGACTGCTTTAGGACAGAAAGACAAAGTGCTGAAGCTGCTTCTCTTACAGAAATCTCTTTCCGTGTGTGGATGTGTGGGGGGAGCCTGGAAATCATCCCCTGCAGCCGTGTTGGGCACGTCTTTCGGAAGAAACATCCCTACGTCTTTCCAGAGGGAAATGCCAATACATACATTAAGTAAGTAGTTTGCACTTGCTTTTTTGTTTTTTTTGTGAATCAGCCTTGTAGAGAGAGGGGGGAGCAGAGAAGACAGGCAGGAAAGTTTGTTTGGAAACTTTGAAATATCCTTGGGCAGGAATTTCTTGAGCTGAAGAAAATGTAAGTCAATACAGCTGTCCCATAGGATTTCTCCAGTGTTGAGAGTATGACAGAAATAGGACATTTATATGGTAGTTTTCATCAGCACAGAAATGGAGGGATGGCCCTAGCACATCCCTGAGTGCTGGCTGCTGGGACATAAAATGGTTTAGACCTTGAGGTCATCAGAACACACTTATGATGACCTGAAATCAGGCTGCCAGCAATGTCTGTCAGTAGCCAGTGACCTAGGCTGAGGGCTCAGTGTGGCTCAGCTGAACCAGAAAATTTGGTTCCCAGTGCCTCTCTGGGATGGAAGCCACACATCTTGCTGGAGAGGGTGGCTCTGTCTCCAGGCTGGTGCTCTCTCCTGACCAGAGGCAGCACCTGGCTGGCTTGGACACCAAAGGGACTGCTAGGGCATACCAGCTGAAGGGCACCTCTCCTCACACACAGGAACACAGACTGAATCAAATACTGAAAGGGCTGTCTGAAAGGGGCTAAGATCCTGGAAGCATCCTAGGCAAAGAAGAAGGAAATCCAGAAGTGGGAATAGGCATGGGAAAGATGATCAGAGCAACTAGTGAGATCAGGAAGAATTTCCTCCCTTTTTAGAGTGTGAGGGTGAATGTTGTTGCTTAAGTGAATGACAGAGAAAAGCACTGGGGGCACTTTGAGTAAATGCAGGGTTGTTTCTGAGCTAAGCTGCAGCTGTGAGTGCTCACACAGCAGGCTTTCCTTTTAGTGTGGACTTCCCACTGTCAGAGGGAGCCAGCAGCATTTGTGAAGACCCAGGTATCTGCCACAAGTTACTGCTGACCCAGGCTCTCTGCAGCTTCCTCAGACTTTGCTTAAGACAAGGGGGAGTGCAAATGACACCTCTCATTAACACCTAATGTGTGATTTCCAGTCCCACAGTGGGTGGAGCAGGAAGGGGATGGCAGTGACCGGCACAGGGCATCATCAAGGGGCAGAGCACAACTTTGAGAATCGCTAGGAGGGCTCTTGGTTTCAGTAGTGAAGCAAGACTACTTGAGAGGGGCCTCGGATGGGGCAAACTCTCCCCTGTCAGAGTCACTGCAAACCTGAGTGAAGAGGTGGTGCCTGCATTGCATCACCTGCAGGAGGAGCAAGGGGAGCTTGAATGGGTACAGCTCTTCTGACTCCCTGCCAGGCACAAGCCTCTGGGGACTTCGGGGAGTCCATGTCATGCCTGGGTGTGAGCCTTGGCACTTACCCCTGCGTTTCTTGTAAACTCAAATGAGATCAGGAAGCCAAACAAAGGAACCTTGCACTCCGGGGAAGGCTAGGTACAGATGTAGACACTGATTTAGTCATCTCTTGAGCAAGAGCACTTAGACTATTGCCTTAGAGAGAGAGGAGGAAGCCCATGAATCAGCAAGGAACTGAGAATCAGTCTGGAGAAAAGTACCTGTAGGCATCAGGAGCTGGGATGTTATTAACCTTAGGGTATCTATCAGCCTTAATGTTACTGTTGTATAGAGAACAGAAGCAGCTCCTGGCAACCTGATGCTCTGTAGCACTTCTGTTTAAATAGAGGTGTTTGCAAAAATAATCTCCACCTGTCTGCCAGATACTGGTTGCTTTTCCACAGAGCCCCTACTTCAGTGTGAGAGACAGTTCAGGCTCCAGTGTAGTGCTGGCTTCATGTGCAGAATAATCCTTTTCTGGGCACCTGGGGCTTGGCTGGATCCAGAGCCTGCCTACAGCACCTGCAGCTTAGTGGTGTGGCAGCAATAGCTTGGAGACTCTGGCCTGCCTTGGAGCAGGAGACTGGAGGACTCCTTGATCTGGGCAGGGACAGGCAGATAGGCATGGAACAGGAAATGCATTTGCAAGAGGAGTTAGAGCCATCTGAAGCCAACAGATTTGCTGAGGTTCAGAAACCTTCTGCAGACACCTGGCTGATGTGGGAGAGTGGAATTCGTGCCGCAGCACAGTGATGGGGCCACTTTCTCTTTAAGTTTTGAATGCTGAGGTTTGCCTCAGTGAAATCCAGGAGTGCAAAGCAGGAGAGTCCATTCAGGACTGAAACAAAGGAAATACTTGCAAAGTTTTGGCAAACTTTTCAGAGCTCCATCCCAGCCACTAAATAAAACCCCAGGCATTCCTGTCTTGGAGATAATGCTTAAGACAAACTTCAGTTCTGACTCTGGTGGATGCAAAGCATCCAGCTGAGTTTGAAATGGTGAATTCTTTATCCAAGCTTTGTTTGGCATGATGTGTTTGGTCCCTGCAGTGATGGGAAGGAAGGTCTACATTCTGTAGAAGTGAGGGATGGGCTGGCTCAGAGGGGGCTTGAGTGAAGACCAAGCTGAGGGTGGGAGGAGGGTAGGGATGGATCAGTTGGTGCATTCTGGAGGATGTCACCCTGCATGCCTCCTTGGTTTCAGCATGTCCCCTTGCCTCCCTCAGGAACACCAAGCGCACAGCTGAGGTGTGGATGGACGAGTTCAAGCAGTACTACTACGCCGCCCGGCCCGCAGCCCAGGGGAGGCCTTTTGGGAAGTAAGGATTCTTCCTGTGCTGCCTGTGCCCTGCCTGTGCCCTGCCTGTGCCCTGCTTGTGCCCTGCCTGTGCCCTGCTTGTGCCCTGCTTGTGCCCTGCTTGTGCCCTGCTTGTGCCCTGCTCATTCCCTGCCTGTGCCCTGCTCATTCCCTGCCTGTGCCCTGCCTGCTGCAGTGGGTGCTCATAGAGATGTTCCCTGCTGTGGAAACCCACCTGTGTTGTTTCTGTAGTGACAATAAAATACTGATGATAGGCACGTGCTACAGCAGTGAGGTGGATAAACTGCCAGTTTAAATGCGGTGCTGGTTTATTCCAGTGAGTGAACCAAATTCAGGGGGGGAAAACCCCCTCTGCCTCTGTCCTATCCTTGACATAACACAGAACTACTTCTGATCCCAGAGCGGAGTTTGGTAAGGAGAGTCCAGAGGTGTTGGTGGCAGCTGCTAGGCAGGAAAATCATCACAATTTTTGACCTGCCGATGCTTTATTGGAAGGCAGCAAGTGTTTGTGTGCAGGGAGTTTTCCATTCATTCTATGAGTCAGAAATGCCTCCCTGTCAGGAGGACTGTAAATATTTGTGTTGTATTTCTCATTTTCACATAGCTCTTAGAAAGTTTCCTTCAGACTCCAAGGGGTTCTGAGTCCAAACTTGAATTCCTTGTGATCACTCTTCAATCTCCAGGATAAATAATTTGAGTCCTGGTGACTCCCCTGTTTCCTCTGAATTAATATTCTCCTCCCATCCATCAGCACAAAATTAAGTAGCAGCTCTGTCCTCTGCTTAGGGTATAGAGAAGTTAACCTATGTGAAAAGGAGGTACTGGAGGCTTCTGACTATTCCATAAAATTCCAGTTCATAACAACCCCACAGCTGGAGGCTGGCCCAGGGAGGAGCTGGAGTTTTGAAAATGTCACTGTACAGCATGATCCTTCAGTAGAAATTTTGTCCTGATTAATAAAAGAAAAGTGTTTCACTGTGTGATTAACTTCTGCTGGCTTACCAGCATGTTTAGGTGCTCTTGCAAATCAAGGCCTCCTGTAGTCCTGTAAACCAAGAGTAACTTAGAATAGCAAACAGCATATTTTAATTTCCCAGTATGTTAATATATTCAGGTAAGGGTTATAGTAGACAGCATACATTTTTCACTAATAATTTTTAAATTACTGTGCTCTTCCATGAACCTTCCCAGATCCAGACTCCTTGTTAAAATGACAATATGTCATCGTGCCATTTTACCAAGTGAGACCTCCAAAGAGACAGATCAAAATAACTGCTCAAGCTCATACAGAGAGAAACAGAGCTGCTGATGCTCTTGTATTTGTTGTCGGTGCATTTCTGATGGGTTTTTCTCATCCTCCCTTCTTGGTGTGTTGGGTCTCACCTTCATAATTTCCATCTCTGTGTTATTTTCTTCCCACAGCATCCAGAGCAGAGTGGAGCTGCGGAAGAAGTTGAAATGCCACAGCTTCAAGTGGTACCTGGAAAATGTTTATCCTGAACTTCGGTACGGATGTGTGATCTCCGTGGGATGCTTCATCCCTCCCTCCTGCCCCACAGAGCTTTCTTCTGCCCCAGAGACATAGGCATCTCCTCCCTTGGGCTTCACAGAAGGGCAGAGGGAATTTTGTGCTGCACAGCTTGCTCACAGTGTGACATATTGCAGGGCTTTGGAGATCCTTGGGGGTCCCTTCCAGCTCGGGATATTCTGTGATATCTGTGTCCTCCAAGCAATTTGCTGCAGGGCTGGTGAGGGACAAAGCACCAGTTATTCCCATTTGCTCTCAGGAATTCATTAGATATCTTCCTGCCCAAGCTGTGGAACAGGCTGTGTAGGGAAATAAGTGAATTTCCTTACAAAAGTATCCAAGGCAGAAAATCCACCGTAGTGTCCGCAGGGGTGTTTTGGTACTTAATGACTCCTACTTATTAAACAAGCACCTAATTTCCAGTCCTTTCACACTGTTCTGTGGCACTCAAATCTTCTCTGTTGTGAAACCATTCACTCTAAGATCTTATGACTTGCATTCAGATGGCTCTGCCTTGCTCCTTGCCCAATGCTTTGATAAATATTGTTGCTTTTGCAGATATCTTTTAGTTGCCAATTTACACTAGAAGCCATTGCATTAATTCCTCTGATCCCTGTCAGGAGCCATCCTAAGAAAGGTTGGTACAATTCTGGAGATACCATCAGGGACCTGCTGGTGCAATAGCTGAGTGCAGAATTGCTGTGTGAAAATGATGATTTATAGCCATTTTCGTACTATTTTTTTTTTTTTGCCATGTATGGCATTGCACAGCAGCATCATGGGCAATGCCAGGGCTCTGTGACAGTTTGTTGTAAAGTTCCCCTTTCCTGTAAGCTGAAGGCTGCTCACAGCCTACTCCTGGCTCCTCTGTTTGCCTTGGGCAGTTATTTATTTTTCCTCTTACAAAGGTCAGCCATCCATCTCTGAGCGCTGCTTCTGCAGCATCCCTGTCCATGTGCTGCTCTCAGTGCTTCAGTATTGTGGTGGATCTTGCCACCCCTCATTTTCTGAAGGTGAAATGGTGCAACCTCACCCCACTGAGCCTCCCTGTGTGTGGGCCAGTACAATGTTGTTTTCACGCTGTTCCCACAGGATTCCCAAGGAATCGCTGTATCAGACTGGGATCATCAGGCAAAGGCAGAGCTGCCTGGAGTCACACAAGTCTGAAGACCAGGAGTTCCCCATCCTGAGCTTAACTCCTTGTAACAGCAGCAAGGGCACAGTGCCAAAGGCACAGGTAAGATGTGTTGTGTATCCCCATGATGCTGGATGGGAAGAAGCCATGGGGGCAGCTTGAAGATGATTCCTTAAGTTTGCTAAAGCTCTGTTGGAGGATTTACCCATTCTGCCAGTGTCTTTCCTTAGGCAGCCTATCATTAAACCTTGGCAGCTCCAACTGACCTTGGTGGAAGCTCCGGGCAGCTGCAGGGACTGGTGCAGGAGCCACAGGACAGTGTGTCCCACTCATCCCCGTGGGAGCCTGTGCTGAGCTCTTCTCACTGCCCAGGAACACCACATGCTGCACAGATCGAAGGCAAAGAGAATTATAACTTCCTCTCATCTCTCGGCCTTTTTTCTCTCAGAATGGACTGAGTTGCAGTGGCATTTGCAACTTCATAGTCTGCAGTCTCTCAGTATTGGATTGCCCATTAAACTAGCAAGGATTTAATGAGGATGATCTCAGTTTTTTCAGTCTCATTGAGATGAGAAAAAGCTGTATGAATTGATGTTCCCAAAAGCACAGCCTAGGAGATTTTAGAGCCAAGAGCAGGCACATATGCCTTTCTCCTTTCTGGAGCAAGACACTGAAGATACACACAGCTTCAAAACTCGCCTTTGTGATTTTGGGCATGTCAGTAAGTTCTGTGTTCCCAGCTATAAAATGGGGAGGATAACAATCCCTTGCTTCTCCATGGTTGCCATGAAATAATTCAGTAGGACATGGTGTGGTGTGCTTGCACTTGACTGTACATCCTTAACCCTCATGGTTACATATTCAAACCAGGTAGCTGTGCATATAAAAGGCCCAGCTTGGGGAGACTGCTTAAAATATCCCTGATTTGTGTCTGCAAACAAAGCATGTCATTATGTATGTCTCTCTTAAATGCAGTTGCATGCCTGTCTGTAGGCAGGAAATTAATATCTGTTTCACAGCATGGAAAAATCAACAATGACTATTGGAATATTAGTCAGTTCACAAAATGTAGTTAATATAATTGCAAGTGCCACACAGTAGCACTTCTTACAGTTTCACTGGTTTCCATGTTCCAGAACAGTTTTTTTTTCCTTCCAGTGCTACATGGACTTTTCACACAAACAGCAAGCTGATGAGAGCAGGTCATCAGGTTTTTCAGGGCTAGCTCTGCAGAAGAAAGGAAAAGTGTTCTAACAATAATAGCAACTTCCAATGAATTGGCTGTTTAAAAAAAAAAAAATCTGGGAAAATCAGAATGAAGAATGCTGCTGCAAGTTAGTGTTTCAAAATGAAATGGTATTGGTCTTTCTGAAATACCAATTTGATGTGGTATTTTAAAATGAGAAATGTCATGCCAACAAGTTGGATTGTTTCATTCCTACCAAACACATTTTGTTTTGACATTTCTGTGCAGTAAATTTTCAGAATTTTTCACGCCATGAACTTTTCATCTTCCTGTTCTGATTCTGCAGCAGTTTGCAATAGGTCAACACTTCCCACTGGATGGCAGCTCTATTTCTTGTGCACATCCAGGACTAACTTTGCAGAGGAACAGAAAAACGCACTACAAACAGATTGCAGAATGACTGCACTCAGTACACAGCAGGAACAGAGAAAAGCCTTTCCTTTTTATCTTTTTCTGTCTTTTTAGTATAGTTCTTTATTACTTGTACCCATGGAGAATAGTTCAGATTAAAACAGGATGTTTAAACTTTTATTGTGAATAGAAACTTATATTTTAATGACTCAGTTGCCACAAGACCACCTGAACTTGTGGACAATGTGGGTGTTACAGTCACCAGGCTGTGTAGGATTGATTATGCAGCAGCCTTGAATTCTACTTGGTTTTGCATTTGATACACCAGAATAGAGCAATAATCTTCACTTTTAACATACTGAAGTCACGTCTTGTTTACCCTAAGCTTTATTTTGTGAAAAATAGGCTTAGCTAAATCAAAGCTGTGCTTCCTTGGCATTCAGTAAGTACTGTGGAAATATCCTGGCTGTCCAAAATCTTTATTATCACTATTACAGTAGCAGTAATTTCATTGCTTTGATTGCCTTTCTGTAGCTGTCTGCCTGCTGGGCTACCCCAGCCCTTTACCAACATTTCATGCACAAAGTCTTGAGATTCAGTGTGAGAAGATCTAGGCTGTCATGGTTTGAGGAGAGAGGCACAGGATATGTCAGGTGGCAATCAATTGCTCATCATTGTAGGTTTTACTAATTGTAGTGTAGGGGAAGGTTGTTGTGAGACCTCTGGCTACATCCATAGCTGGGATAAATTGAGATGAGTACTCAGTGGTGAAATCAGACTTACACCCTTAGAAAGTCTCAAAAAACCTCATTGCTGGTGTCTGGTGTTGGTCCTGAATCACTGAAAGGGGCACTGAGATGAAGAAGACCCCTTATCTTTGTGTGGGAGAGCTCTGTCTTATCATCCTGGGGATCCACTTGGTCCTTTCCTCTCCAGAAGGCCTGGCAGCGGGCAGGGTGAGTTCTGTCCCCTGGGGTGGCTCTCAGAGGGAATTGAGGTGGTTGAGAACCTCAGGGTGGCTGTCAGAGGGCTCCTGAGCTAGTGACAGGCAGAGATGTTTGTGCAGTCCCCAGGACACAGCAGACTCTGCCTGTGCTCCTGCCCGCTGGAGCCTCGGCACTCCACGCCTTGTTGCATCTCATTTGCTAAATTAACAGATTGATTTAGTTTTTCATGAGAGAAATGCATCTGAGGGAAAATAATTGATCATAATTTTGTCCTCATCTATCTAATAAAGATGTGAGTAGTTGGGGTTATTTTTTTCAAAGCAAGTGTCAGTTGGTATTAGTTCATAGAGTTTGGAAAAGACATCTGACTGGGATTTATTTAAGTCATTAGCAGCTTCAGGAAACCTGACATACTTCAGATAAAAAATCTGAAGATGCTTTGACCTGGATATAACACATGTGTAAGCAGTTGCTGCAAGAGGAATGTAAAGCTCAGGCATCTATCTTTTAGACAAGCAAGGAAACAGGGGAAAGGCTGCAGCATCCATTTCCTGGGTCTGCAGCCCAAAATACCTGGGGTTTGCAGCTGAGTGGCTGCCATTGCATTTGAGTGGCATGACCTTGACTCTTCTTGGGAAGGAAAGGCAGTGTGATGATCTGCCTGGTGTGGTTTGAGGTCTTCTGTGTGCTGACTAGATCTGCCCTTTTTTTGAAGAGCATTTAGCATCCGTCCAAACTCAGTGACCCTTCTGAGACATCTCAACCATAAACATTCTCTTCTGACCCTCCTCCCCTCAAAAGCCTTCATTCTTCTCCTCCGTGACCTGCCCTGGCTGTAGGCTGGCTGGAGCTGTGGGAGACACGCTGAGCAAGCAGAGCAGGGGGCAGCAGTGTCGTCTCTGCACCCAGGTTGTCCTGGGCCCTTGTGTACTTTGCTTTCCCTCTCCTGAGAAGTGTAGAAGTGCCAGTTGTATCCCAGGGTCTTTGATGAGGGCAGCACTTCGGTATCCTCAGGTGACTCATGCAGTCGTGTGCCTTGGGAAGTCCTTCTCTGGGATTTTAAGAAGATAATTGGATAATTACATGGTTCCACCTTCTTCAGAAACACTTCTCTCTTGCTCCTACCCCTGCTTTAGGGCACGGCTGACCTCTTGCTCACAGCAGAGGCATTGCTGTCACGGAACGCTGGGCTCCCCTGGGACTGCTCCTGCCTGGGCTGAGGGGCTCCTTGCTCCATCTGCTAGCCAGGCAATGCCAAGCCAAAGGTCACTCTTGAAAATAATTTGCTCAGTTCACAATAATGCTGAGTAACAGTGACAGGTGCCGGCTCAGATGATGCTAAAGCCTTGAGAAGCAGTCACAGGCCCTCCAGTGAGGGGTTGGTGTTATCTGAGGCTTTGGAGGAAGGGGGTTGCTGGTTGTGCTGTGCAGCTGGTGATGCTCTCTTCACCAAGTCCACCCTCTTCCTCCTGATTCCACCACCCCTCCATCTTTGCCTTTGAAAAGGCAGGAAATCTTGATGTCAGTTTTACCTCATAGATCTATTTTTCTTTGGTTCTGGGTCAGCTCTAATCCCTGATGGCATCTCCTCAGGCAAGTCTGCAGTCCTGAAGCCATGCCAGCTCCTTTCAGGGCTCCTTAGGGGTACTATAGGCTGCTCCATCCACCACAACCTTGGCTATGCTGGTCACGTCAGTGTGCCAGGGATTAGGAGATAAAGTAGTTCCTCATGGAAAAAAGAAAAAAATAATCCCAACTCATAAAAATAAGGGAAGAGAAAGGAGTAAGATAAAAATTTGTGTGGCCATGGGCATGTATTTTTACCCAAAGTCCTTCATGGATTCTGTGGTGTTCAAACGACTTCCCTCCTCCTTCCCCTTCAAATTTCTTCATTTTCTGCATAATTTTCTTTGGCTTTCATCTAGGGCTGAAAGGGAAGAAGACATGATTAGAGCTGGATAAAATATTTTCAACAGGACTGGCTTCCATAAAAAGCCATTCTGCTGAGATAGATGAGCAGTGTGAAAATCTGTCAGCTGAGATAAAGACAGTGGAAGGACAGCCTGGGGGCATGAGGGTAGGATCCAGTGTCAGCTGTGGAACTGGTGCACACATCCAGCTCTGGAGCCACTCACTTCTTACAATGAACAATAGCTTAGGGAGAATGGTTATCACCACCCTTCCTATCCCATGGTCCACTGCTGGTTGAGAGGATAGCTCTGCCTTAAGAGGATGTGAATATTCTGAAGCTTTGAATGTAGCCTGGTCTGGATAAAAAATAATGGAAGACTTCTGGTAGGAATAGTCTTCTGTAAGATAATCTCAGTGAAGATATCAAACAAACAAAAAGTCCCATGGCCTGGGTTAGTTGAAGAATATAGCATATACACAAGTTACAGCATTAACTGGCTGCTGCTGAGGAGCCTCATGGGTGCAGCTTTAGCCCTGTCCTGAGCTAAAATGACCAGCAACTGGTTAAAAATGTTAAGCAGGTTTTCAAAGCAGCTTGTAGCAGCATGGGTGCCAAGAACAGATGTTGGAGCTTGCCCCATAGGGTTTGGTTCTTCGTAGATGCTGGACTAATTTGGCACCTGATTTCCCAGGCTGGTGGTTTACACAGCAGCTGACAGCGTGCAGGGTTGGGATGTCTGGAACGTGTTCACTGTGGGATCAGGTGAACCCTGCTCCATATGACAAAGAAAAGTGGTTGCCAGAAGGGTGTGGATTACAGCTTTGAAAATGAATGCTTGTTATGTACCCAGATCCTGGGCAGCTCTTGCTGAGGAACCTGTGGGCAGGCTGTTCAGAAAGCCAGGTTTGATTTCCAGGAGCTGGTGGGGAATAGTGGGCTAAGAAGCACAGAGTATGAGGATCACAGTGTGAAGTCCTTGTGGAGCTGGGTCTGCTGTGTAAAAGTGTGTTTTCCCTTCCAGCTGGCTAAAAACCTGAATGAAAATGGGATTTATATTCCCAAGAGTTAAATGCCTGTACCTGTCTGTTTTGAAGTTGAGGAGAGGAGTTAGAGCTGCTGGCAGTGACAAATACCAAAGGACTGGAAACGTGTCCCTGCTCTAATAACTCATGCTAATGCAACCCAAAATCTCCACCATTCAAAGTCAGGGGTGCTGCAGGCATCCTAGCTCTGAGAGTAGGACAGCCATTCTTCACATTTCCCTCCAGCACTCAGAAAGGGTTGAAATCTCTCCAGAGCCCCATTTTTCCAGCTCCAGCCTAAGAGCCGTATGTTTGAGCACTGCCTTCCCCTCCACTGCCAACACTGCTGCTCACATCACTTCTCATGGAGCTCTGACTTCTCCATATCTGAGCTCCCAACTGCTCTGCTTCCTTTTTGCACCCTTACTTTCCCGCCATGTTCAGAGTTTTCATAGGCTGTACTTTGCTAAAGCATGTGCCATGGCTCCTGGGGTCTCTTGTGGGAACCCTTTTGCTCCCTGGACTTGCTGTCTCTGGCAGGGTTATTGCACTCTGATAGTGAAGCCAGCCAGCTGTTGGTCCTCCAGCCCTGCTCACCTGTCCTGCCATGGCTCTGAAACCTGCTTTCCATCTGCTCCCACTGCTGCTGCTCAGAGTCACTTACAAAGCAGGAGCTGATCCTGCTTTGCACCCTGGATGGGAGCCCTCGGAAAGCTCTTGCAGCCCCACTCCTTCTAATTTCAAAGTTGATGCTCACAGAAAGTTACAAGCAAAACACCTCTTCCAGAAGTCCCTGTCTAGGGTTGTGTAAAAGCATGGCTTGTGGTTTCCCATCAGCCAAACCAGCTCTTGTCTGCTTGTGCACACAGAAATAACAGGGAGGCAGACATCCCTTGGCTGGGATCCTCTCAGGAGGTGCTCTTGGGTAATACGAGCACAGGTGAGTGATAGAAAATGTTCAGCTGGAATAAACATTGGAGTAAACTTCTGTGAAACACTCCTGGGTTAAGCAGTGTGTCTGTACATCCATGGTGCTTTGTCCAGCACATTTGCAAATCCTCATCAAACTTATCAGCTGCTCTTCTCCCAGAAACATCCAGTGGTGAAAAAGATGGTAATCCCCAAGATCTCCTGTTGTTTGGTAAGCACCGCACAGGACAAAGAGTCTCTGCTCCTCCAAACTTTATTTCTGGGGCTGAGGAGCTGATAAAGAGCTGGTGAACATGAAAAAGCAACAAAAGAAAAAATCCTCCAAGACAACCCAGTGGAATGAGAGTAGCAATGGTTATAGCCAACCATTACAGCAAACCTTTGAAATTTGGTCCCAGTATCTTGATAGAAAGCAGATATTTACCTCTTATTTTTGTGATATTTGGGAACAGAACCCCAGGAGTTGCAGATATTTGCTATATATCACCTCTTGTCTCCCAATGACAGCTGCAAAACATCTCTGCTGCTCTTCCCTGAAAAAATAGGATTGCACATTGTGTGGTTAGTATGTTCCTGCCTCTCTTCTGTTTTTTTTTCCCATCCTTCTGTTCTCCAACCACAGCCCAGTTCTGGCATGGAATCTTTTGTCTCATGAAACTTGTTCTTCCAGCAGCTTTTGTAGACATTTTCTTTGGTACCTGCAGTCCCTCAATGACAACTGCAGTTTTGGGGAGGCTTGAAACATCCCAGTGACTTCTCCTGATGCCTCTTGAAGGCATTGAGGTTTGTGCTTGATTTTGTAAGGGGCAGGATCCAAGCCAAAGTGTTTGTTTTCCAGGTAAAAGATCAGCAAGAATCAACACTGCTCTCTCACCACCTTTCTTTTTCTTCCTCTGTGCAGGAATGGACATACACATACAACCACCACGTCCGCCAGCAGCAGCTGTGTTTGTCTGTGTACACCCTCTTCCCTGGTTCCCAGGTGCTGCTGTCACCTTGTAAAGAAGGTGACAACAAGCAGGTGAGCCCTTTTCACTGATCCCCCATTTTCTTTGAAGTTCCCTTTCTTTCATCACAGTATTACTGCACATTAAATGGCCTGTGCTCTGACTTCATCTGGGAAGCACAGTCAATTTGGGAGTACAGACTCTGGCCTGTTCAGCCCTTTGCCTCTTAAATGAGTGTGTTGATAAGGGTGTCTATTAGTGAGGGTGGTGATCTGGATACTTCAATGCAGAAGTCAAACCCAAACTGGCAATTTAGTTCACATGGGCTGCCAGTCAGGCAGCAGATGCTAACATTTCCCTGCAGTTAATCACTGAGCTGGCATTTGAACCAGTGACCTGGGGAAAAAGCTGTTAGTAATGTATTATCTCCCTGAAGGCAGACCGAGGCCGAGTTAAATGAGTGTGCTTCTGATGGGAAAAATGCTCAGTGTGAGCTTTGCCTGGTGTGAGTTTGGGGACCTTGTACTTGACAGCATCAGACCACAAAGGCTTGATGACAGCTGTCCTCTAGAAGCTGGAACAGTGCAATAAAAGCATGGTGGGGAGGAAGCTTGTTCACCTGTTTCTCCTGTCGTGTGTCTCCCCTCAGCGCTGGGGCAAAGTTGGCTCACACATCGAGCACATAGCTTCACGCTTCTGCTTGGACACTGAGACCATTGGGGACACCCATGAGAGCATCAAAGAGCTCATCATCAACCCCTGTGAGAGCACAGCCATGAGCCAGCGCTGGGACATGATGATGTCTTGACCTGCTGGAGGATGTGTGCGGCGGGGACGAGCACCGGGATGTGGCTGAGATGCACCAGATGGGGCTCAAATCCAAACCATTGTGGGTCCCTGTGTGCTATGGGACAGGAGGAGAATCACTTGAATCAAAATGGGACATGGCACTCCAGGTGGAAGAGCGGATGTTGGCTGCCAGGCATGCAGCTGGTATTGGCCTGGTGATGGTCAAGGAGGAGGGATGGCAGAAGAACAAGCTTGAAATGTTTTAGAGGGGGACTGGGGCTCCTGCAATGGGCTGTACAAAACTTCATCATGCACAGCGTTGATTATCTCCCTGGCAACGCAGGTAGATGAGCCTTTAATGCCCAAAGGAGACTTGGGCTGAGCAGAACAAGCATCTCAGTAGCTCTTGGGGGCTGAGGTGGGTGCACAGGGTGGGATGTGCCAAGGAATGCTAAGAAACATCACCAGGGATCAAATGGAAGACACTGAATTATTTTTGCACTTTGCTGTGGACGTTTCTGTCTTCTGCAGGCAGCATGAGTGGAGCTGTGTTGCACATCCGAATTGGTACCTGGTCCACGTCCATGTTGTGTATACAGAGGCAGAGCAGTCCTTGATGGCTGGGCCAGGATCAGAACAGCGAGTGATGGGGGAATCCTGCTCTGTGCTAACTGCACACGGTGCTTGTTGAATCTCCAAAGCCCAAGCAAACAGAGGATTCACTGCGTGAGATTAAAGGATATACATTTCTGTCAAGCTGGGAGGAAGGGCAGTAGCGTGATTATTTCTCCTCTCTGAAGGCCATGGGTCACTGCAAACTCTAAAATTTTGCTATGTGTCTCTTACTGCTCTGCTTCAGATCTGGACTAATTCAGATTTTCACTTTTCTTCCATAAAAGTAATATTTTTGGTAATTGAAGGTAATTGTGTCATATTTCTGTTTAACAATTTCCCAACTACAGATTAAGGGACTCCCATAAAATACTGCTACTGATGGAACGGTGAAGGTTTAATTTTTAATTAAAATTAGAGACTGCTCCAAGAAAGGAAAAGGGATATTACTTGGGCTTGCTTCCCAGTTACCTTGTAGCCCACAATGTAAAGTACTGAAAAAAGCATTTGGGATTCCCCATTCACACCGGTGAGCAGGGCATCCTGGGCCTATACCTCTCTCTCCAAGTCACTTAGCATAGCCAGAACCAGGCAGAAATTATTTCCTCAGCTTTTGGAGCTGTCTTCTACCAGAGATCATGTCAGGTGCTGCCTCTGTGGGGGAGTGAGGTGACTGCCTGAGGGCAGATGACCTCAGGAGGGGTCTTAGGAATAGAAGACTGGAAGGTCCTTTCCAGCCATTCAGGGCAGTGTCACTACAGCCACAGGTAACTTGTAAAGAAGGTGACTTGGCTGTGCATCACCAAGAACTGTGCACACAGCCCTCGTGTAGTAACAATTCTCAAAAAGAACTTCCACAGGACTGTTAGTGTGACTTGGAAAAAAAAAATACATAATTTCTGTCCAAAAATGCTAGGATTTAGTGAAAATCCTATCCTTTGTTTCCTATGCTGCAAACTACAGGTGAAATACCATAAGCTTTAAGCCTCCAAGTGCTCTCAGCATCCCTTCTTGAATAAATTGCTGGCTTTCAGGATTTTACTGCCTCAGTTTCTCCTCCCTCAGTGCTGGGAGAAAGCCATGTGTATAAATCTTCCTGGCTTTAGAAGCAAAACTACTATAGCTCTTTATGTGCAAAAGGTCGCAGTGCAAAATGCTTTTCATGTGTTGCAGTGATTACTAACCTCATCAAGCTCCCTTGGTGCCAGCCTCAAGGGCTTCTGTTCTGAGAGGGCTGGAGCAAGCTGTCATTTCATGGTGGGAGGTGGCATTGTTTCCGTGCCACCACTCTGCCAGGAAACAAAGGGGAACACTGCAAATGGAATGGACCCATTTCACAAAGGAGGGCAGGGACCTTGGGCTTCTCTTCAATTGAACAGGGACATATCACATCTACTTCTCACAATGGTGATGACAGGCAAGGGGTAGTAATTCCCTGCCTAGTGTTTACAAGGGAAAGCAGCTCCCAAGAGCTTGAAGCTTAACAAGTTCACACCTGTACTGTGCCCACAGCCTGGCACTGCCCAGCAGCTGGCAACTTGATTCTGAAAATTCAAATTGCTGAACAGCTTGGCATGGTTTATGAAGTTCAGCACCTGGCAGGTACACTCTGAGCAGAACCTCAGACCTATCTAGCTTTACTGTTTTCTACCAAAGCTGAAAATCTCCATTCTCCTGACGGCCAAAACACTCAAAACTGCTCTTTGCTTTAGCAGAAACAGCTACCTCACTACATATGTGTGTGCACTTGGGTACATGGACCCATAGGACCTGCAGGGATGTTTCTAGGAAGGAGTTGTTTGACCAGCTTTGAAGCTCTCTTGCATTTTGGGAAATACAAATGCTATAGCAAACCCCTTCTATTCCAAAATATGTGCTCAGTGCTTGCTGTGAACATGTCGGGGGACAATGGAAGGCAGGCAGTGGAGAGGGGCCATAGGGCATGGTAGCCCCTACCAGGGAGCAGCAGCCAAGTTCAGCTAAGTCTCTTGCAGGCCCAAAAGCCACCACATACCCCACAGACCTGAGGAGCAGCAGCACTTGTCAAACTGGTGATTGTGTCTCACACAGCCATCAGCTGTAACCCTTAGGCTACAGCTTATTTCATGGTCCAGGAAATGAGATTATCCCTATGGATCAGCAATGTTTTCAGAGAAGCCTGAGAGTATCAGCCTGACTCCTGGGGAGCTTTATATAAAGTGGGCCATGGTCTGGCAGTCTCCAGAGTTAACCCCAGTATGGCATTTAGCAAATCTGCTTAACACCCCTGCAGAGAGACCTTGCATCATGTCAGGGAAAAGGTTAACTTGCTGCTGAAATCCAACTCGTACCTTCAGGTTTCATTTATTAAAATACACTGAAAGCAGACGAACTTCTGTTGCTTTGTGTTTTTTCAATGCCTAGACAAATGATTGTCATGCTGTGAACAGGTACAATGTGACTGATTGGGATCTAGTTGGGCTCCCACACCAGTGCTGCTTAAGCCCCAGCATCATTTGGTAGTAATGCTTTTTGGTAGCATTTTGCACTGACTTGAAAGAACATAAGATAAAGCAGAAAATATTATTCTAATCCTGGCTGTTGAGCTTAGTGACAGCCTTTATGATCTCCAGGTAAGTCACTTCTTGTGCCTTGGGAAATTTAGATTCAGAGCAGCAAACTCAAGGTGAGAACTACTACTGGCTTTTAAAGGACCAACTAAGGCTATCTGAAAAAAACCCCAAAGCCCAAAACACACCAGAAAAAGTCAAAAAAAGCACTTCCCCTCCCTTTTGAAGGATATCCATGTTCCAATTAGAACAAATCTATCTGGTTTAGTTGGGCTGGAGAAGTCTTGCAGTCCTTAAGTTGCTGCTTATGTGATTTCTAGGTGTCTTGTGCTCATCGTCTCTCTGCACCAGTGCAGTACCACAAGGTAACAGCACAAATCATCTGTGCACCTCAGGTTCACCTGAGGAAATCGGGAATTCACCTGAGGAACCTCAGGTTACAACATGTCGAGGTAGTGATTTAGTGGTAAAGAAGTGGAAACCAAATTCAAAGATCTCTGTGTATCCAGCAATGCAGCAGCAAAATGGGGCTGGTGGATGAAGACTGGAGAACTGGTGATGGTTCAGGACAAGCACAGCCCTGAGTGCTAATCCGTTCTCCTGCTTCTAGGAGTGGCTTGGGATGGCTTACTTCATTTCCCTGCCACAGTTCCCCAAAATTTTAGTGACGATTGGGTGTCTTGAAGGGAGAAAAAGCCAAGGATTTGTTTTTGTAGCATGCAACACCAGCAGTACTGGCTGGCAGTCTCCATGGACCCTTTTTATCTGCCTGTACAAGGTCTGGTTCAGATGGAGTTCATTTTCTTTATGACATAAGGTGCTGTGGTTTAGACGGGGACCAAAGCAGTGTTGATAACACACAACAATGTTTTAGTTATTGCTGTACCTGCACAGTGTCAGGGCCTTTTCCATCTCACTCTGCTGCCCCTGTGAGCAAGATGGGGCTGGGGGAGAGGATTGGGATGGGGGACAGCTGGGACAGCTCCCCCAAACAGACCAAAGACACATCTCATACCATATAATGTGACACTCAAAGGTAAAACTAGGAGTTCTGCTACAGGAGGTTTCTACCTGGCTGGGCATCAGGCTGCAAGTGACTGCCTTTGTATCACTTGGTTATTTCATTTCATTTTCCATCATGACTGTCTTTATCTTGACTCACAAGTGTTTCTCACTTTTGCCCTTCAGAATCTTTCTCCCATCCTCCTGGGCAGAGGGAGTAGGAGCTGAGCTGCCAGACAGGGTCAGCCCACCCCAGTGCCCTAAGCAGACCAGGGTCTGTGATGTAACACAGACCTGATCACAGCCCTGCAGTGTGATCTGCACTGCTCACATTTCCAATTTTAAAAGCTTCAGAGAAAAGCTGGGGGCTAACATTTTTTATAGAAAGGGTAGAGGAAGCAAAGTCAAGGAGGTTTCACACAAGCAACAGAAGAAACTTCTGCTGCTCATTAATGTTGTGGCTAAATTAATTTTGAATGATCAGTCCAGCACCAGTTTTAATGTGCGGCTGCTTTACATGGCCGCAGAGTTAAAGGAACCCTGTGATATAGGTGTCCAGCTTATGTAGAGACTTGCATGCTGAAATCCAGTGGCATTTTTCCAGATTTATGGATGTTTTCCCAATGTTCACTGTTCTGTTTCTCACTGAAAGTGCCTTCAGAACCCTGTAAGAATAAAAACCTGTTGCAAGCTGCTGCCTCTCCAACTAAATCTAATTAAGTTTCGAATGGAGCTTCATTTTAGCACAAAGGTGACAAAAAGCAACACGTAAATTTACAGGTAAGGATGCCCATTTTGTTGAGCTGGGAGCTGTTTTGTTTTCTCTGATACTGCTTGGGCACTAAAGAAACCCAAACTGGTTCCGTGTGATTTATAAAAGAAGTCATGACTCTGTTTCAAGGTTGAGTTTTGCATAAACACTCATGTAATAATTATCAACTGTCCATCACAATGAATGATGCTTCTCTTTTTCCTGTGATTTACATGAAAAAGTGTTCAGACAAAGTGTTGCTGCTGCAGAGGGTTAAAATCAGTTGTAAAACCAACCAGCCATCCAACCAACCAACCAAAGAGGAGAAAGAGAACGAGCACTGAAAGCTTGGATGTAACCTGATAGATGCAATAAAAGAAGGATATTGTGAAATTTGGACTGTTCCCAGGGTGAAAGGCTTAGAAGTCCGAAAGTCAGTAGGAATGTATTCAGGGTTACTTTTAAGAGCCCTAGTGACTCAGAGTTGCACCATGGGGACAAGTTTATAACACACCACCCAAAGGAAGTCCCCTCAGTCTACAGTTTTCTGAAAGAACACAAGCCTCTGCACTGCTCCTGTGGCCCAAGCTGTGCTCATGTCAGGTGTTCAACATGCACCTTGTGGTCCTGACTAGCTCTGGCCGTGGAGACACCTGATGATCCATGTGTCTGTCTCTGCAGCAGCCAGATAAAACCCTGCCTCCTTTTCACTGCTTTGGAACAGTTGTGTGAGCCTCTTCTAATGGAGATTGGCATCCTGGTGCTGTAATGGTGTTCTGGCATTTGAAATGTTTTCAGAAGAATCAGTGTTACAAGCCCTTTGAGCAGTTTTCATGAATTCTGATCCTGCTGACAATTCCTGGATCATGCCCATGGCCATCCAGCCTATGTTATGCAGCAGAGATGATTGTTTTCTCTAAATGCAGTCACACCCAAAGCCTATGCATAGTCACAACCAGATCCAAGGGTATTACTAACATCAGCTCTGACCCTCTTGGCCTAAGCCCACACAATTTACATGGCTTTTATAAATGTTCCTGGACTCCAGCTGCCTGAGGCCACTGACAACAAGAACGTGCAGCAATCATCTCAGCAGAAGCAGGAGAGCCTGTGCTTTGGGAGAGGGCATTCTAATCCTCATACTGAGGCTGCTGTGAGATCCTTAATCCTTGGGAGGTTGGTCTGGGAGAGGGCTGTGCAGAAGGCAAGGTGAAAAGGAGGTTTCCTGGAGTCTGGCAGTGGTGGGAAGCACTGGCTGACACTGCAGCTGATGGAGGCCAAGGTGGATGGATTTACAAGATACGGAGGTGTGAGGCTGTTGAGTTACCAAGGAGAATTCAAATAATTTGAGCATGAAAACACCTGCACCCAGAGGTGCAGAGTGTGGGTGGATCTCAGATCAGCACCCTGCACTTTCAGGGGGGATTTATTTTGACTGATAACTGATCCAGTGCTTGAAATGGCTGTCCCAGAATGCTCTAGGGGTTAAAAAGAATTTTCTTACCTAGTCACAACATACTTTCAGCTCTGTTAATGGAACTGTTACTAGAGTGGCAGTGGATTATTCAGTTCCCTGGATGTGAAACCTTGATTTGGACACGGCCTGTATGTTGATAACAGGCATTGCTTGTCCTGTCGCTGCAGCTGTGCATTGCCAGAGCATGCATTGGTATGTTTGCAATGGATCTTCGGCGTGAAGGATTGCAGTCATTGCATCTTGAAATTGATTTTCTTCTACAGAAGGCTGTTTGAAGCAAAAACCAATTTGGTTTGTATAAACTACATTAGAGATAAGAAGATATCCCTCAGAGTGCATGAGATCACCTTAGAAGACGTTTTCACCCTACTGCAAGTAACAAGTCACACAATAAAAAGAATTTCTTACAGCTGATCTGATCTCCACCCATCCGTGAGCTGGCTCTGAAATGAGATAAACCTATCTCCTCTAATTCAGGACAGGTGTATCATATTTCCCAATCATATTACAGAGACTAGGGAGGCCTGGTGGTGTTAACACTGAGCACATAACCTGGGCAAGTGAGGTAGCTTTATCTACTTTGGGGGACTGGCCTTGTAAATGAGATGCTAAACTGCTCCCACTGATTGGAAGCCGGACTGTGAGGTTTTACCTGTACTGCTACCCAGTAAGTAGTGGCTCTGGAGGGTCATCTATGTGGCTTGCTTTTCTTTCTGGATAGATTTGGTGTCTTTTATCTACTGTCTAACTCAGTCCTTCCAGACTGGTCCTCAGTTGGTTACTGTTTGTTTAGTGTGCTAGCCAACCTACAGAAAGAGCAAAACAGAAAGTATGCTTTAAAGGGAAATACAGTCAGGGAAAAAATAAACACAACAAACCCACTACTTTTTCCTCCTTTCCTTCTCCCAGTCTCTTGACCTACTGTAATAGGTATCCCTGAGGTGTAATAATCTAATTTGTAGGATATCTAAGAGGTATCAGGGCTTGGGAAATACAGTGGTGTTGAAGATACAGGTGGATTTGCAGTCCAACTCTGGGCTGCAGCCATCCCTTCCCTTCACTAAGCACAAGGTTGTCAGCTCCAGTTCTAAGACTGGGTGTGTTTTGTGGGTTCTGAATTGCCATTTTCCCTCAGCACAAGTATCAAGTTGGTTCAGGAACACTGAGAAGTTTCTCCAAACAGGAGCAGATGGATTCCTAGCAAGAGCTGCCAACTCAGGTTATCAATGGGACTACAGGGGAAAGGACTGTGGCTGACCTGGCCTGGGGCAAGCAGTGGCTGTTCTGCAGGGAACAGGGTGGCATTCACATCTGGGCTTCTTGCTTTTGATGGCAGAAAGCAAATATTCTGTTGGTTTGGCTGCACGTAGCTGTGGAAATGAAAGATGCCACGTTCATGTATCACAATAATTAATGTGTTGTCAAAAAGTGCCTGAGAACACAAGCATCTAGAAGGAAAGGGAAAAATCTGTGGTGCCTCAATTGGATTTTGTAAGAAGTTACTGGACTGAGGAAAGAAAAAGAACACGTTCTTAACCCGACTTCAGCTTTTTGTGGCAAACAATGATGGCAGAGCTGTGCATGGGCAGATGTGCAGGAAGGGGCTGTGTGCTACCCAGCCTGTGATTGGAAAGGGCAGCCCTGAGCTGCCTTAATGAGAGGCAATGGATCCAGGGTTAAGAGCTCTGCTTGCTCTATCAGGTGTCCTGTGTGCTCAGGGGTGCAGGGCTGTGCTGGGGAGCTGGGGAGGCTCCATCCGTGCTGGCCGTGGGGGGATGTGTGCTGCTGTGCCCCCCTGGCTGTGCTGTGCCCCCTTCCCTTCCTGGAATGACACTCCTGGGGCCCGATGCCTGTCCCAGCACAGCCAGGGGAGCACAGGGAGTTAGTTACCTTCGGTGGGACCCAAGGGAGTGAGAAGCCAGGTCTGTTCAGGCATTTGGGAGTTGTTCCTTGGAGGCTGCTCTTTTTAGGATACCTGGCTGTGCCTAGAGCATCCTGCAGTTTTTGGCATATTATCAGCTAATTTAAAATTACTTACACAAGCCCTTATCAGTACATGAGACCAAAGGGTGTTAGTGGGCATAATGACAAGGAAGGCTTTATGAACCACTTCATGAAGCCAAATCCTCAGGAGCTACTGAGCTGTAATTAGATTTGAGGATAATAAGATTTTTTTTTTTTCTTCTTTCTTCTTTCTTCTTTTTCTTTTTCTCCCATCTTTCTTTCTGGGAACAAATCAAGGGAAAAATTGGAGCTCTCAGTTAATTCTTGTGTGTTCAGAGTGTGGCTGCAGGCTGTACTCAGTAACACAAAGGGATTACAACTTGATATCAAGTAGCCTGGGAGAAGTGTGAGCATGAAAGTACAGGGGTATGTTTTACTCTAGACCCTGTGGATCCCTTATGGATGTGCCTGGATAAGGCCTCCCAAGCCTTAGGAGCAATTAATAATGAAATCAACTAATAACAAGACCTGCAATGTGAAGGGAAAACTAGCCAGCATTTTGTTATGGGGAGAAAATGAGCAAACCAGCAGGGGACATGCTGATCATGTCTGATTCATGTTGTCTCTATAATCTCAGCTAAAGTTTTAACAGCCCGGGAAGATGAATTACCCACTCTAACCAACACAGGGATCAGCATGGGGTTTATTAGAAGTAGGCTATCATTTAACAATGTCAGGACTGTATTTATTATTAAGCAGTAGACTCCACAGTCTAAATGGAAAACCATCACTCCTCCTTAGACACCAAACAAGGTATGTTCATAAAGCCAAATGGCCAATACATTGTAGTGCCTGAACACAAATACACAGTCTGCTTTACTGGACCTCAGGGCTTTCTGTGTTTAGCTACAGGCTAACAAACCAAAGTGTTTGAAGCTACTGGAGGACAAAGCTGTACACCATATGCTAATTTTGACTCTCAAAACTCCCTGGTGACTTCATTCCAGTGAAGAAAGAAGAGAAAGAAACTGGAGAAAGAATTCGGGGTTCAGCACAGAAGGATTGGTTAACAGTGAATGTTTATGGACCAGGGTACAAAACCCTCTGAAAGCAGATCTGCTTTCTTAAATGCACAGTGTACTTTCAGCTCAGAGATTGCTCAGTCCTTCCCTGTTCCTGGAGCCCAATGCCTTTGTCCATAAAAAAATCAATCAGTAAAATGTCCGGTAATACACAGTGAACATTTTGGTTTTATTTATTGCCACATTAAGATACCCAGTATGGAAGCATAAATAATACAGTTCAAGTAAACCACCACTTAATGTAATAATATTTCAAGCTGGATTTGTGGGAAAGGCTTGGGGCTGGCCATGTTTTCAGTCCAGCTTTGTAAATCCAGGGTATTTCTGGACCAATACAAACGATGCTCTCAACATGTAGCATGGGCAAGGAACTTTTACATTTTGCAGTTCTGCTCTTGCTGCGCAGTCAAACAGCAATCACAGCAACATCTTCTGGTCTAAATGTGGGAAAGGATTCCTAGGCACAGCCATCTGAGTGATGTGACTGTCTGACTGTGGGCTTCCACAATTGGCTCTGAACATCAAAAAAGTCTTTTCTTTGTAATTTATGAGGCCTGATTGGCCATATTTTTAACATGTCCCCCTAATGGCCCTGTTGGGAGATACCTTGAAATATGACAAAGTGGATTTTCAAAATTTAGAAGCCAAACTGTGGAATGGACTGAGAGCTGAGTCAGGGATGGAGCAAATATATCAGACTGATTTTTTTTCACCTGTTTTTATCAGCTATCTGGGAATACCTGGTTTTTGAGGTTTAAGCAATATTACAGAAATTTCTTAACATTTCCTGTCACTTTAAATTGTATTCTTTAATTTCTCAGATTGGGGATTTGTGAATGTACTAGACTAGAAATGCAGGATGTAGATTATGCAGAGTTAATGATCAACTTCAAACCTGTTCTTCATCAAAAGTTGCTTTGTAAAGAGAAAAATGAACCAGTTGACTTTTCTGTTCCTCATTATTGTCTTGCACTTGGAAAGGGAAATACCAGTTGTCCATTTGAATGTTATTTGCAACTGAAGCCAGTCTTTGCATCTCACTCTGACAGATATCTTTTAGTCTGGGGCATGGATCTGGAGGGTCTTGCTGTAACATGACTTTTTCTCTTCACCTTCAGTGTTTAATTTGTCCATTCAAATGTAAAGTCCTTTTGTGTTTCATTGCCATTGCCATTCCCATCAGCTGCTTCTACTGCTGTCACTGTTCCCTGAATTCCCCATAACCATTATCCCTGATCAAGTCATAAAAGCAGATACGATACCATCACCACAGGAATTATTTTCATCTAGGTGTGATGAATACCTCTTGCACTGCAATAGCTTGGATTCCAGCCATGCATAATTTTTGCATTAATTATGTCATTACTGTTTAATCACTGCAATTAACAGCATCACTTTATCTGAGCCATCACTGTCATCATATGGCCTCCACATTATAGCAGGATCCCACCTGTTGGGGCAGCCTATGCGGATTTATGGGGTGTCCATGTAATAATATCAAGAAGCTGTGCTCACCTGACCACAGGAAAGGGAGTACCTGAGCTAATACCTCTTCGCTGTGAAGACACCTAAAACCCTGCAAGGTGACCTGCAAAATGGTGCCTCTCTGAAATGTTTCTTTTTTATGTCCTTTTTCTGTAGCTTCAGATGGCTACACAAAGTACAGGAAATAGGGAATAAGATCTCAACCTGAATTTTAAGGAGCTTCATAAACTCTATTTATATGCCATCGTGACAATAAGTGCCACCTGGGGGTGATAGGCAGGTTGTTTAGGAGATGAAGACCTGGCTGGGACTGTGTGTCAAGAGGCAGAGTGACGAGGGTGTGACCACACTCCTCAAAAGCACTGTAGCTGGTCACCTCATGCAGAAAGGGATTCCCTTCAGAGCTATTAGGGTGATGTTTCTGAAGATGTCAGTGCTTCCTGCCATCTAGTGAAAATGTTAAATGGTGGACTAATGACAGGAGTGTCATTTGGGAGTGCTTTAGGAATCCAACCCCACCTAAGCCCCTGCTGCATATGCAGTGGGGGACTCTGTGCAGAGCCACTTGTGGGTTTGTAGGACTTCAAGGACCCTGTCAGGATGAACCCTCTGTTTCCATCTTACAGCAGGGCTGGCCACAGCACAAATTTTACACCTCCAGACCACACCTTTGCTGTTTCTGACTTTTTTAAGGTAAAATTTTCAACATTGCTTCTTGTCAGTCTTCTGCACTAAATTAAAAGCCATTTGAGATAATGTCAGAGGGTGGTAGTGCAGCAAGTTATTTGTTAATCCTACAGCTATAACACGTGGAAAAAGCTGCCGGGGCTAGGGTACAACTCGTGGTATGAGACGAGTACCAAAGTCTGCATTTCCGCTTTGCAGAGAGGGAAGGGCTTGTTTCCCAGAAGTAATCACTCTTCCAGTAACCTGACCAACCCTCGAGAGATTATACAAATTAAAACTGCATTTTCTTATTCAGAAGCAAGATCAGCTCTTTAAGGAGAGTCATGCTTTGTGCTGTGGTTGTTGGGCTCAGGGGGTTCCTGTCTGTGTGACTCTCAGGTCTCAGATTCAGCGTCAAGCTGTCTGCTAACAGCACCATCAGCCCTCATTACCACACAATATCCATCAAGCAACAAGCCCTGGTATCTAT